GGGTTGAGTGAATTAGGCATGCTGAAGGCATGCTTCGGCACTCCCTATACATGTACCATAGTACGGTAGGTGGTCCGGGGACATGGTCCCCAGAAAATTGTTAAATCTACGATGCTTTCTCCTCATCTCCTGCACTCTAAGGCAATTTGAGAATAAATCTAGGAAGTTCAGCATTCCATTTACTATTTTTGGCCCCATTTTGCTAGGATACATCATAACATTAGCAGCTAGCTGATGAAGGGGGTGGGGGAGGGGGATTGAGATCTGCCACAGGCATAGCAGAGAAACATCCTTGCTCTGTGCCTGCAAGGTTGCATTCATTGAGTCTTTTTGGTAGGAATAGAGACTTTGCATTTCAAGTCACATGATTGCTTTTTTTCAGCAATTAAGTGCCCATTCATCTTTGCCCACAACTGATAGAACTACCCACACTACATTGTGTGCATAGCCTTACTGCCAAGCCTTTTGACCCTCCCAATGGTAATCCGTTTTTCCAAAGGCTCTTTTAGAAATGTTGAATTATCTGGAAGGACTGGGGTGAAAAGAGGTACTCTGTATGGTGCAACAATGCTCCCATTGATCCAAAGGGAGTGAGTGGGTGTTTAACAAGCAAAGAGAAAGGTCATCTGTGGAAATGTAAAAAGCACTGTAGATATTGTGGCCTAGCATGACACACTTCAACATTTTCCATGACTTTTTGAAGGAGCTTAACATTCATAAAGTTAAGGCCCCCCCCAAAAAAATTCGGTCTCTGGTCAGACCAAAGTTCCGGAATTGACGCGGGGATGCGGCTTTTTTTTTTTTTTTTTTTTTCAAGCTTGGATTGTACAGACAAGGTGGGGTACTATTTTGCTATTTGGTGTCCTCATGTACATGTACATTGGTGTCCTCCATAATTTGCCTTGGTGCTCTCGATCATTTGCCTTGGTGCAATTTCCCATTCCTTGGTGCTCTTTGGTAAAAAAAATTGAGGAGGTGCGGCAATAGAGGACGCTGTTGGAGCTACCGCGGAACATTTTGGGAAAAAAAAGATTGACACGCATGATTAAAATCGACACGCGCGCTGACTAGAGACCGACTTATTTTTTGGGGGGGCCTATTAACATCATGAACTTGGTACTATGGGTACTATTGTACTTTTATGAAACTTATTCAGCCTTAGCATTGCAGCCTTCAGGAAACTTTGTGAACAAATCATGTCATGAAATTGCATATGATATACTAGTGCATTTGTACTTATGTACCGGTATTAAGCGAAAAAATCCCCAAAAAACAGGTGGTGTCTGGACATTTGGCATAATTTTGGTGTCAGAGTGTTTCCTAACATTTAGCAACATGAACTTCAAAACATTGAGTTCATGTACTATTTATAATGTAATTTGCATGTGTTGACATGGTTGATGGACCCAACAGGCATAAAAGTATTCATTTACCTGGATATTTGCTTACAGAAATGCGTGACAAAAAAAAGTGTTTTTGCAGGACCAGTGCATTGAAACGGAACAAAATGCCTTTCCATTCTAAAATAATTCAGTTTACCATTGGTAGTCTATACAAGTCAAGAATTAACAATATCTGGTTGACATCTCAATTTGTAATACATGTATGATACACACATGTAGGGTAATTTGCTCAGCGAGCAAGCCGCTATACATGTATTTGTTGAGAGTCAATTGCACATTGTTTTTTTTTTGCTACACATCTAGTACATAAATCATTTGTACTTCACCTTCTTTACTGTGTTGTCAGAGCTCATGTGAATTACTTGACTACGCTACGGTCCAGCATTTAAGACTGATGTGACAGCCAGAATCTGACACAAGTGACAGTGTTAAATGTACCGGTACTGTTGAAAGGCTTTTATGTACAATATACATACATGTGTGTGTATGTACATGTATACAGGTTACACAAATACTTGCATTTTATGCAACTTTCAGTGCATTCACAAAATTGCCTTGGCCTGTTTTAGTACTGCGAATCCTAAAAAAAAAATCCTCCTGGCGAAGGAAACCATTAATTGCCCATTTTTTGGTACAATAGTTTACCATACTGTAAACGTGCAAGCTTTTAGTTTGGAGTGGATGAAATTTCAAACAATATTTTATTGTCAAACATCGGAACAGGGGTGTTGGAACATAGAGTAGTTATCATTAAATTAATATATTTAACTGGGATAATGTATAAATGTATGTACATTGTACTTGTTATAAATACTAAATAATAATAACGCTGGTTATACATGTATGTTCACAGGCTTTAAAAAGGATTGTCCCCAGTATCGGTAGGCCTACATGTACATGTACTGTATGTATTAATTAAACACCATGCATCAACCAAGGAGGAGTAACTAATATTCCTTGCAGTGCAGCTGCTCCACATGTGGGTTTAACATGTGAAGACTCTACACACTACCAGGTCAGTGTCATCACCCAGGCATGTCTTGGGATCGGAGTGGGCAGGATACCTTTCTATGACACTCCAAACATGGCCATGGAATGGAATGCAGTGCAATTCATTCAGTCCTGCCAGAGTTTCAATCGTCCCGTTATGATTAGTGACAACCAGAATTTCTTGCTGACTGGCTGAGCATAAGAGACTTAATTGCCAACTTGCCTAAAATTTATCAAACATACCGGTTCATTCTTACTTAATTGAATTACAGAGTCTTGAAAATTTCATCAATAATCCACTGTAGCTTGTTTGAGATACATGTACATGTACCGGTACATGTACCGGTACATGTATACACGTATGTCCTGAAAATGGATTATATGCAAGACAATTTTTTTGTCTCCATAAAAATTACTCTTGATGAAACTTAATGTACGGTCTGGTAAGTCAGTATGTGAAGCTTTATTATATAGGCAGTACTACCGGTACTGTGACTGAAAGGGAAAACAGGACAGGACATTTTAAGTTGCCAGCAAAAATCGTAGGCCTATTTATTTTAAAATTGATAATGTACATGTACATGCGTACATGTACGGTATGTTCATGTGTACCGGTATGTACGTTTGTGACATACCGGTATGAATATGAACATAAACTATACCTGCATGTTCATGTACCGGTAGATAGATAATTTCGCAGTTGGAGCCGAATACATGTAGATGGCTAAATTACCTGGTAAATGATGCCAAGTGCAAATTGTCTCTTGTTTTGTTCATTTGCAATGAGATTATCGTAAGTAGTCACGGCATACTTGTGTTATAAAACCATGTTGCAACCTGTACAATGTACTGGTACGTAAGCCTAGTTAACTTTCATTAGCTGCACCATGTACATGTACATGTAGCTCACCAATGTTTTTGACGTAGTAGTGGCAACACTGACATACCGTAAATACACAACGGTATGGTAAAGGTACATGTACATGTACTTTGTAAGCATATACAGACCCCTGATTATGGAGAAATAATTGTGATGATGAGAGGCAATACCCTGACATCGGGGACTGCATCTGTTGCTATAGTATAGGACTCGTTCAATGACGGCCATCTCTGTAGGAGAACTGCAACTGCGTATTTTACGCAATCAAGTACGCATTGCGCAGTGTTCAAAATGTTCCAAACACGCGCGCTTGCTGCTCGAAATGTGTTCAAAATACGACACAGCCGATGCGCGTTATGCAAGTTGACGTTCAATATGCTGATGCACGTGGATGATACACAATGTAGGAAATGACGTCATTTGAACGAGGCCTACATGTATGCCGTGCATCGAGTAAAAGCGGATATTATTGTTAGCTTAATTAAAGGGAAAATACAACATTTGCAAACATCAACAAATAAAACTACAAAATCATTTTGAAATACCTTGCTGGACTGTTAGTGAATGACAGTGTAAAGCATCCTGTAAAATCATGGCACCTGGTATACTGTCATTTTCAAGAAAAGTGGTATTTTTGTATCAATTTCCAATGCTGGTCGGCCGACCAGCGTTGGAGAAAACGGGCGTTTTTTTCAAATATTGGCCCCAATTGACCATCACACTTGTTTGCAATCGATTACACACCTATGAACGGGTACAAGCCAGCTAGACTGGTGCCCTGACCTTACAATTCCCCAATGTATGTAAACTGCTCTGTTTCTTCTTATATGGAGTCAGGGAACCAGACTACAGGAAAATGATTGTTTTTCTTGGTTTTTATAGCATTTTCGAACCCAAAACCTCAAAAAAGTCAGTGTAACTATATTTGCTATATATTTTCAACCCCCCAATTCCATCCATTTCTGAAAATTACAGCAAAAGCAAATGATGTATACACATTCCCTTTAAATTCAAATAACACAGAGCCTGATTGCCTGAATTCGAATTTCGATATTCCTTTTTTTTTCCTTTTTCTTTTTTTTTCAGTTGGGATTTCCAGACAGGGTCGGCAGTTAAATAAAAAAAAATTGTCACGATTATTTATTAATTTTGTTCTTGGTTTGGGAGTCTAAAGTAGGGTCGGTAGGAAATGAGAACCGACGAATAAACAAAAATGTAACTCCTAAGGGACTGTAACCATTGTACAGTTACATGCATTCAACATTGTACATGTACATTACACGTGTAGCTTGACATGTACCGGGACATGTACTTGTTCACAACGTGCTATCAACACTGTATTCTGTTTGCTTTTATAAAGGCTGTGAGAAAATAGGTGTACAATGTACCAGTTCAATTCTGACACTGTGACTTTTAATTTCAGAGGCGGATGTGGCTTGGCCATCAATGTGTGTAGACCATGTTATCAACACTTTATCTGTTTGCTTTCAGAAAGGCTGTCAGAATGGGAAGCTATATTATTAAGCAATTAATGCATACAGTGTTTATTAAATAAGTTGTTGATGGGCAAATCTATACATTTTATCAATTGAGAAGCTAATGCACAAGTACATGAACATGTGTGTTTTAATTGGACTTGAACGGAGAGTGGCTACATTAGTATTGGTAAATGTAGTATGTATGGTTGTCAAAACAATACTTTTATTTCATCTTTTACATTGCAACAGGAACTTTGCCAAGACCCGAAGCTGTTTGTGGGAGGGGCCAGTCGCTTTGACATCGCACAGGGAGAGCTCGGTAAGCAGCTCATTATACGCATTTGTTTTATACGCCGAGATCAAAGTTAATACTTGTTGGAGCAAAACACATAACTAAACCATGCACTTGTCTCTCCCCCCCCCCCCCCCCCCCCCAGTATTTCTACAATCACCAAGTAATAATTATAAACCCATTTAAAGTGAACCTTTTCCAAAGTGCAACAAAAATAACAAAACAAGTTCCAAAAACTCTTTAAAAAAATATAGATTTAAAAACCCCTGCAAAATAAAATGATGCAAACATACATTTTGTACAAAGTTGTCCTTTCAGTCAAAATCAATCACGTGACTGTTTTTAACAGTTAAGAGCTCCCAGCCTGCATAAAGCAGGATTGACTGGCTTGGACTGTTTTAAGTCACTTGATAAACTTGACCGGTATGCTTTGACTCCGGGTGAGAGATAAAACACCGGTGACCACAACTTGCCTGCTTTGTCTGTTGACCGGCCAGTTTGACTAGTCACAGTGTTTGCTTGACATATGATCTGACTGCTGGTGACTAGCCTTTGTTAAAAGTACATAGCAGTGGAGGTGAATTTTGACTGTCTTTGACTGTTTAAATAGCAGAGGGTTAAGGTGTGATTGAAAACCCTATTGGTTAGAGGAGCACTGAGTGCTGCAAACCACCTGCACATGATCCTGGGGCCCCTTAGGCCCCCAAAAAAGTCGCCAGTTTCTGGTATGGAGCTTGCCCCAAAAGTGGTGAGGCGAAGTGGCTTTTTTTTTTTTTTTTTTTTTTTTTCTACAAATGTCGGCTGATGACTGCAAATGGTGCCAGGCTAAATTAAGAGCAAAATATATGGGAGTCCAGAGAGGCCACATAAAGCTTATACTCGATCGTAACCCCATCTTAAAACACGTTAAAATTGTGCAGCAGCAGGATTCCAGTCAAACCAGTGAGTTTGGCGGTTTTGAGACATCATCTTACATTGAAAAAAAAACACTTTTTAGTTTTGCCGACTTGCATGGCTGCGGCAACGCGCACGCATACCAGAAACCAGAGCCTTTTTTTATTTGGCCTCAGTAACGGCTTCTAATTTTGGTCTTCAGATAAGTCAGCGAGGACACAATTTCATTTAACTGATCTCCTCTTTCAGGTGACTGTTGGTTCCTTGCTGCCCTGGCGTCACTGTCTCTGGATGACTACCTCCTGAAGAAAGTCTGTCCCGAGGACCAGAACTTTGACCGTAACTACTGCGGGGCCTTCTACTTCATGTTCTGGCAGTACGGCAAGTGGGTGGAGGTGATAGTGGATGATCGCCTGCCCACTTACAATGGCCGACTGGTCTTTGTCCATTCCCAGGAGAAGAACGAGTTCTGGAGTGCGTTGCTGGAGAAGGCTTATGCCAAGTAAGTGTTTTGATTAATGCTCCACTTGGAAGGAAAGGAAGAGGGTTTTTTGATGAAGTGAAGAGTATTGTAAGTATTGAGTGGGTTTGGTTGTGGTCAGTGATACTATCATGACTATGGTACACATGTACTTACATATGTACAATGTACATGTATGTTCCGGTACAACTACTGGTGATACCAAACAATATAATTTTAAGCTAAGGCCAAAAAAAAAAAATTCGGTCTCAGGTCAGCGCGCGTCGATTTTAATCATGCGTGTCAATCCTTTTTTTCCCAAAATTTTCTGCGGTAGCTCCAACAGCGCCCTCTATTGCGGACCTCCTCATATTTTTGTACCAAGGAGCACCAAGGAATGGGAAATTGCTCCAAGGCAAATGATTGAGGGCACCAAGGCAAATTATGGAGGACAGCAATGTTCATGAGGACACAAATAAAAAGCAAAAATAATACCCCACCTTGTCTGTACAATCCAAGCTTGAAAAAAAAAAAAGAAGAAGAAAATAAAAAAAAAAGCGTCGCCGCATCAATTCCGGAACTTTGGTCTGACCAGAGACCGTGTATTTTTTCTTTTGGCCTAAGTTGTCCAGTGTTAAACGTTTCACTAGTGAGGAGGAGGTCATGGGTTTAAGTCCATATGAGTAAATTTCTCAGTAAGCTCTCCCCGAAAGCACCAATGTAAACAGTGCCTACCAGTACCGATATGTTATCTTGGTAAATGATTATAATCAATACTGAAATTTTTCATAATCATGCTAAACTCCATTTATCTGTCCCCATACTACAGCAACATTATTGGCTGTGTTGCTTGGCATGATGGTCTCATATCCGAGTTTCAACCCATTTCCCGAAAACTCTTGGTTACCGTGTTTGACTCATCATGCTCATGTACAAAGGTGCTGGGTTCGAACCCGGCCAGGAACATGGTGTTTGTGCCCTTGGGCAAGACACTTAACAACAATTGCCCCTCTCCACCCAGGAGTATAAATGGGTACCTGTGAGGGTCGAGGACCGATTGAGCGCTGATATCGGCTGCCGCGTGGTCCCATGGCCTAATGAAGGGGGTAATAATTGTGAAACGCTTTGAGATTGTTGATACGATGGAAAGCGTTATATAAGCGCAATTATTATTTATGCCTTTCCGTTTACTCCTTGCAGACTGCATGGAAGCTACGAGGCGCTGAAGGGAGGCAACACCGTCGAGGCCATGGAAGACTTCACCGGCGGGTTCTCTGAGTCCCACGATCTGAAGAAAGCCCCCAAGAACCTGTTCAAGATCATGTTTGACGCTTACAACCATGACTCCCAGATGGGCTGCTCCATCGATGCCAATCCCAATGAGATTGAGGCTAAGCTGAGCAACGGCTTGATCAAGGGACACGCTTACACCATCACTGATGTCAGAAGAGTAAGCATAGGCATAGCCATGGGGGGGGGGGGGGGGGGGGGGGGAGTAAGGGGTTAAATAACCCCCTCCCCAATATTTTGTAAAACTGCCTTTTTCCATTCAAAGGCCCTTTTTTCAACGGGCTTACCCCCCTCTCCCCCCCCCCAATAATTTGTAAAGGTTGCCCTTTTTTTAAGAAGTGCCCTTTTTCTCTGTGCAAGTGCCCTATTTTAAAAAGAAGTGGTGACCTTTTTTGTGGCATGTGCTGTATCGCCCGTAAAAGGACCATATATTGGCCATTTGTCTTCATAATTGTCGTTTTTGTACAGCGCCCCCATGGTACCAGCCCCCCCCCCCCCCTTGCTTTTTTATTTTACGGAGGCCAAGTGTCCGGAGAAAAAAAAAAAACTGTCTACATTTCGCCACGGATGTTTACCCCCCCCCCCCCCCAATAAAAATGACCGTGCTACGCCACTTAAGTAAGGCAATGTTTTCTCTTACCAATAAAGTGAACCAGAGCACTGAAAAGATCTATTTTGGGGGGTTGAAAACCAAAAAAATCTCAAACAGTGTAGTGGTGTGCACTTACGGGTAATATGGGAATCGGGTAGTCCGGGTACCCTATTGATTAAAACACGGGAAATCGGCTACCCGTAAAAGAAACTCAATCCCAAATTTCAATTCTTTGAAGTTGTGTAAAAAGGGCTTTATAGCTTAACGGTGTAAACTGCAAACTTTCACAAGCGTCATCTGTTGTAGAAGTATCGGTTACCTCAACCCTGCGAAATCCTCCAACTGCCTCCATGTAAAAAAAGCTCACAGCCTCAATCCTGCACAATCCTCCGATATTTCTTGAAGGGTAGTTGATGTTTGGAAATCCGAGATTTTTCGAGGGGAATACATGTATAGGATGTTGAAATCAAAGCATAAAGAGATGTTGGACAGTCACACCAACGACCCTTTTATGCCACTTTGCTAAGCAACGGCTTGATCAAGGGACACGCTTACACCATCACTGATGTCAGAAGAGTAAGCATAGGCATAGCCATGGGGGGGGGGGGGGGGGGGAGTAAGGGGTTAAATAACCCCCTCCCCAATATTTTGTAAAACTGCCTTTTTCCATTCAAAGGCCCTTTTTTCAACGGGCTTACCCCCCTCTCCCCCCCCCCAATAATTTGTAAAGGTTGCCCTTTTTTTAAGAAGTGCCCTTTTTCTCTGTGCAAGTGCCCTATTTTAAAAAGAAGTGGTGACCTTTTTTGTGGCATGTGCTGTATCGCCCGTAAAAGGACCATATATTGGCCATTTGTCTTCATAATTGTCGTTTTTGTACAGCGCCCCCATGGTACCAGCCCCCCCCCCCTTGCTTTTTTATTTTACGGAGGCCAAGTGTCCGGAGAAAAAAAAAAAACTGTCTACATTTCGCCACGGATGTTTACCCCCCCCCCCCCCCAATAAAAATGACCGTGCTACGCCACTTAAGTAAGGCAATGTTTTCTCTTACCAATAAAGTGAACCAGAGCACTGAAAAGATCTATTTTGGGGGTTGAAAACCAAAAAAAATCTCAAACAGTGTAGTGGTGTGCACTTACGGGTAATATGGGAATCGGGTAGTCCGGGTACCCTATTGATTAAAACACGGGAAATCGGCTACCCGTAAAAGAAACTCAATCCCAAATTTCAATTCTTTGAAGTTGTGTAAAAAGGGCTTTATAGCTTAACGGTGTAAACTGCAAACTTTCACAAGCGTCATCTGTTGTAGAAGTATCGGTTACCTCAACCCTGCGAAATCCTCCAACTGCCTCCATGTAAAAAAAGCTCACAGCCTCAATCCTGCACAATCCTCCGATATTTCTTGAAGGGTAGTTGATGTTTGGAAATCCGAGATTTTTCGAGGGGAATACATGTATAGGATGTTGAAATCAAAGCATAAAGAGATGTTGGACAGTCACACCAACGACCCTTTTATGCCACTTTGAGTTCACCTCGTGCTGAAAATTGTAGGGTGTAAACAGCATACTTCTTGCTGAAATGTAAACAAGGGGCTTTAAGAAATAGTTCATTTCCTTCCATTTGTTTGTTTGTTTGGAAAATTGAGCAGTCGTTGTAAACATTTTTCATCCTGTCTTTAACATTTTAGGTGCCAATTCCAGGGTACGGATCTTCAAAGCCGATTCGTCTGATCCGCATTCGTAATCCCTGGGGGCAGACAGAGTGGAAAGGGCGTTGGAGTGACAAGTAAGCCCAAAAAGAAATTAGCCATGCAGTCATGGGGGGGGGGGCAAGGGGGGCGCTTGCTCCCCCCCCCCCCCCCTGAAAAACGAAAAAAAAAAAAGGGGGGAAAAAAAAAAGATGTGCGAAGCCATATTGCTGTTAATTTTATTGGGGGGGGGGGGGAATAGGCAAATGCTCCTCTGCCCACGCTTGGAAAAATGATAAATTGAGAATATAATGAAAAAGTTAAGGAATTTTGGGGAAAAAATTTGCTTTGCTCCCCCCCCCCCCCCCTGGAAAAAATCCTGGCGATGCCCATGGTCATGGCAGTGTGCCATCAAGAATTTATGCATTTACAGAGAATCAAAAGTTCAACAGGTCTGGTTTATATACAAACGACTGCTAGTAGTTGTTTTTAGATGTGAAAAACAAAACAAGGTCCTCATTAGTAACAGTTTTACAGTTTTTTTGGTATTCATAAACTTAGCTTTCGTAAATAATTGCATTGCAAAATAAGGTACATTGTATCCCATGTTTGATGTGACTTAATCTACCGGCTTCTATCTGTAAACTCGATAAATTTAAAGAGTTGCCCTAATGGTTTTTCAAGTCCCATATTGTGATTGCTGTATCTTTTGAGCAAAACGTCGTAATGAAACCAACTTAACTTCTGCTCAGCACTACTTAGACACGATTTTGAATACTACCCCCACTTTTCTTTCCTTGTTTATTTAAAGTTCCTCTGAATGGAAGAGTATCCCAGAAAGTGAGCGAAATCGGTTGGGCCTGGTGACCGATGATGACGGTGAATTCTGGTAAGTCAAGCACTCGTTATGTTTTCGGCTTTTGTTATCTGACAAATTAGTAATCTCATTAAATATCTGGGTTGTGGAGTTGTGGACAAGTTTGTCCGTTCTGGGTCCATTGTATCAGAGTTACAGAATTCTAAACAGCCTCTACAGAATCTCCCTGCAAACGTTTTTAATCTGTAAACAATGCTGGTAGATAAAATAGAAATAAATTTATTCATGTATATTGCGCAAATTCCATATGAATACGTTCAAATGCGTATCACATAAACTACCGTATACTCCAAACATGCTCAGAGAAGGGGCGCATTATGCAACCGATCCAGAAACACCGAGGCAAGCCCCTTGTGTTTCACGATAAGTGTCCTGGGTGTTCTACAATGTATGTGCATATCACAATGCATAGGACCATGACCTACAGTTTTACGTCCCATCTGAAAGACGAGGGCTAAATTGAAGAAGCCCTATCATGTCCCAGACAAGCCATCCAACCAGGACAATACATGGAATGGTCTCCCACCCAACTACTGACTATATGGAGCTTAATTTGGCAGTTATACCACTACCAGTAGCTCTTCCATTGAGCTACCTGTCTTGGTCTCTGGTAATTTGACTTTGTAGAGTTCAGAATGCTGCAACAGTTGCAATAGATGTGTCGCAGATAAACTTGTCCGAGAAAGAATGTTGCATCCTGACTCCACTTTTTTTAATCACATAATTGTCTCATTGAAGGTCAGTCAGGTCAAAAATGTTGAAAAGTCATGAATCTGGGACTGAGAAACATTTGCAATGTTGTTAGAAAATACTTTGAAAATGCATTGGAATCTCCATAAACTTTGTACACAACCAAGAAAGTGGTGGCATATGTGATGCAATCAAGCTACATGAGTTGTTTGTTGGGAATTTTCATTTGGAGATACAGGCCAAAATAGGGCCACTTCATCACATCACTTCATCACATCTCTTGGTGTTCCGACTTCCATCATTTTTGAACTAAAGATGGTATCAGCATGCAGTTTTCACAGCAGTAATGCTGAGATTGTGCTCTTTTCAAATGTGTAATAAAAATTTTTTTGACCAGGGTCGGCAAACGACTCATTTAGCTTGATCGTATCACATGTGCTTTCACTTGTCCAAAATTTGTACTGGAGAGTTAATGAGGGGACTCCTAAAATGTTGTGTTGTGGTAAACTGGCCAGTGTATCCATTCAAATATATTGGAGTTTGGCCGCTATTTTAGTTCAGATAATGCAATGTGTTGAGGTAAACTGGCCAGTGTATCCATTCAAATATATTGGAGTTTGGCCGCTATTTTAGTTCAGATAATGCAATGTGCTGAGGTAAACTGGCCAGTGTATCCATTCAAATATATTGGAGTTTGGCCGCTATTTTAGTTCAGATAATGCAATGTGTTGAGGTAAACTGGCCAGTGTATCCATTCAAATGTGCTGGAGCTTGGCCGCTATTTTAGTTCAGATAATGCAATGATCTGTATCCCGACCAATCGTGAGATTCCTGTTTTGGCTTAAATCAACCTTGATTTGTCTACATTGTGTTTGTTTTTTAAGGATGGAGTACGGTGATTTCATCCGTGAGTATAATCGCGTGGATATCTGCCATCTGTCTCCTGATAAGTCCCCCGGCGGGAAAAAGAAGTCCAAGAAATGGGTGACCAATGAGATTGAGGGTGCCTGGCAGAAACACATGAGTGCCGGTGGCTGCCGCAACTTCCCAGGTAAGTAATGCTGGCCCGCCCCCCTCTGTACCAATCCCTGCTCAAGTCCTGCCATGAAGAATTTGACAATGCTTTACCCCAACTCCATTCGGCATCTTTGCTATAAACTTTCAGAATCCTCCAAAATCCCCCTCTGTGCAGAAACCCCATGGCACATTCTTTGATCTATAACCTTCAATGGGGAATCACGTGCCAGGCGAAACAATAGTACATTGTAGTGTGTCAGCCCTACTTTATTCAGTCCAGGAAAATCCGCAACGTCCTGTTACAATCTTGGAGGGTTAATAGTGGAGGCAGAAGTATTGTGAAACTCAGAACCAGTATCAACAGTACTTTTGGACAATTGAAAGATAATGTCACTATGCAGAGCCTAGACTAGCCACTGAAATAGTCATTCAAGACACGACCTGACAGGAGAAACTGTCTTTCTGCAGTGATCATTTATTCAGTGTTCATTGATTTCCCCCCCCCCCCTCCACAGATACCTTTTACATCAACCCTCAGATTGAGATGAGTCTTGAAGAAGAGGATGATGAAGATGACGATGACGAGGATGATGACCCAGCCGCCAAGCAGAAAGGCTGCACTGTCATGATTGGACTGCTGCAGAAAGACAGGCGCAAGCAGATGAAGATGGGGGTCGGCAACCTGACTATTGGATTTGCCGTCTATGAGGTAGGGAGCCAGTCCACTCTAGGTGGACAGTGGGAGAGGTAAAATCTGCCCCCCCCCTTCGTTATTTTATATGGTATCATTGCCGCATAATTCCTTTTCTTGACAAGCCTTATTAGTTATTAGTGATGCCTAATGGACTCTTTGACACCATGAACTTTCATAACAATTGGATGAAGCAGTTACCCAAAATGACGAAATTTTGGGGTACCCGAAAAATTCTGTTGTTTGCTATTGACCCAGTCCTATTTGTTTTGTCAAAATGAGCTGAAATTTCAACAGGTTACTTGTTATGCATTCTACTTGAGATTTCGAGCAAATGCTTGTAAAGAACAAAAAAATGCACAAAAAACAAACGATCCTTTGTACCTTTGATAATCATTCATGGTTGGAAGCATGGAACGTTATTGATGAATTACAAGACACTTTGTCTAATTGAGCTTGAATAGTGCACATGTACGAACAATAAATGTCTCTGCTAACATACCAAATTTCTCAGCAATTTTGCATTTCCGAGATCTGAATGCAAATTAGCTCAAGTTGTCCACTGACACTCATTCAAATGGTCCATGTTTTGTCGACCATAAACTTGAAAAACAGACTCTCCAGGGCAAACTCTTGGTGGCGCACTGCATTGTGAAACGCCCAAATTCAATAGATTTTTGCGGGCTCTGGGATGAGCTTTACTGTGCTTGCCTTTTGATAAAAAACAAAATGCTTATATTATCATTGAATAATTCTAATTGTCTTTTGCCTCGCTCTTTCCACTCCTGCAGTACAAAGATGGCAAAATTGTTAAGCTGCCCAAGGATTACTTCCTGTACAACGCCTCCAAGGCCCGCTCACACACCTTCATCAACACCCGTGAGATCATGGGACGTTTCAAGCTGCCACCGGGCCACTACTGCATCGTCCCTTCTACCTTTGAGCCTAACCAGGAAGGCAAATTCCTGATTCGTATCTACAGTCTTAAGGGCTCCTCCTCTGTGTGAGTACAAAACCAAATTTGTTGCGAGCCTTTACAAAGTTCAGTAGAGAAATCATTGCTTAAGGTTAGGCCAAAAAAAAATAGTTTTGCTTCCGATTACATGGCAATTGAAAATAGGGTAGGTAGGTAGGGACATAATTTTATTTTGCCAATTTTTTTTGTGTACGATCATATGGAGGCGTCTGCAGGTAGTCAAGAGTAAAAGGTAGAAATTGATGGTTTTGGGTGTTTTCTCCTCATTTTTCCAATAAAAAAATTAGGGTAGGGGCTGTCAGAAAAGGGAAGGTAGGGAAACCGGAAGCAGAACTATCATCTTTTTTGGCCTTATGGTTGCCACTTCGAACATTTTTGGGAGTGTTCTTTAATTAATTAACCGTCCTTTTGTTTGATCAGTCCCAGACAGTCAGAAAGTCAATCCCGTTCCCTGCCATGCCTTTTAAACAGGCAAGTCACCAACCGTCAGATCCTATTTCTTGTAGGCACTGTGACAGTCAAATTCCATCAACAGACAGAAGCAGGTGCCTGGTAGGCACATGCAGCTGGTTTATCAATCTCCTACAGTAAGAGCATAGCTGTATCAGGTTTCAGAACAATCGCAGCCAGTCAATCCTGCTTTATGAAGGCAGGGAGCACTCAACTGTTAAAAACAGTCACTTGATTTATTTTGAATGCTGGGCTGGCCATGTTGAAATTGCCAGCCAGAGAGGGAGGGTTTGAAAATAAGCCCCCACTCCAACTTTTCCCTTTCAAAATCTGCTCAACAATATCATGAAATAACTGTAAGACCTTTACGTAAATCTTTGTTGGTTATTTCGAAGATAAAATTGATAAGATTTGAAGGTTTGCATGCCGAAGGTAGCTACATGTATAAGATAAGGATTTACGGTAGCACCGTGTGACAAATCTCTTTTTTGAGTTTGTGAGTTTGAAAACTCAGTTTTCCCCCGGTTCGTTTAAGAACCTCACAAACTCATGTGGTACCGTAAATCTTGATCTTATGGTTATTTTATGTTGTAAGTACATGTAATTTTGACTGTGTAAATAAATAGAAATGATTGGATTGATCCCACAGAACCCTAGATGAGAAGACAGGCATTGTGGACGTTCCCAAACAGGTATGCAATCCATCTTGTGTCTTTAAGTCACCTGGGCATTTTTTTCCCTCAATCCTCCAAAATCTGCCACTTTGCAGGAATGTAGTGGCCAAGTTTTTAGTGTTTTTGTGTCTATACTTGATGGGGCCTTATGTTAAGTAAGATAGCTTGGCTCTATATCTTCCTTTGTTCTGAAAAGTCTTTCAAAACCTCCTACTTGGGTTTGAAGAATCGTGAACGGGAAGGGTCTAAGTAGGGGCGGAGGAAACCCCAGATGATAATCAAGGGTTGTTTTTTAAAACACTCCATTTGTGATTTGGGGGACAAAGGGGCCATGTTGTGCCATATTCCTCATGTTCCTTCACTCTGCAAAGTTAATCACAGGGGTATGCCCAATTTTATTCATATTTTTTAAAGTGCTGATAAAACCAGATTTTTTAAAGGTTTACTTTACTTAGAGGGAAAATATTGAGGAATTAATGTGTGAATAAAGCTAGTACTAAGCACACCCAATATTCTTTGTGCACAGATGGCAAGAAGCATGTGTTTCATAATTAATACAACACACTACTGCACCAAGAAGTGCAATGAACTGAATAAATCGAATTTGGCAGGTCTGGTATATCACATATCATCATGTAATCCGCCATATTTTTTTCAGTCAGGCAACCTTTTTTTAACCCATAATTTGCCTTGTGATATCCCCAATCGTTAATGCTGTGCGACAGGGACCATCTGGCAGGGCTCCAGCTAAGGTAATCTGTATCACGGTGGATTGATACACACATTTGAATATATCATGCATAATTCATGTATTTGGTCATTGATTCCTTCGTCAATTCAGCCTGGCATTTGCCTGTTCCATTGTACACGGCATCAAGTGGACTGATATGCAAATTTGAACGTCATGCATTATTCATTGTTTCCTTTTGATGATTCAGCCTGGCATTTGCCTGTTCCATGTGCACGGTATCAGGTGGATTGGTGCAACTTAAATACCAAGAATATTCATGCATTTTGCTGAAGTGAACCAGGACCAATGTCAAGTAAGGGGGGAAGGAAGTAGGAACGGTCCTCTAGTTAAAGCCGAAAACTTGAGGGTCTTGCCTGGACCTAGCCCCATAAATGTGGCCTATTTACTGGACTGCCTCCGTAAACATAGTCCACACATCCACATGTACAAAAACGTGTCGCACTTTGCCAAATTTTGATTTTCACATTTAGGCTTAGTTTGTAGGTTTTTTTTGCTTTAGAAGCATACTCTTCCTCTTTATAGGCTAATCAGAAAGTGCTGCCTTTTTCAGATGTCTAATTTTTGTGAAATTTTATGTTGAAATTTTAATACGCAAACGTGTGCAAATGAATCTGGAAATTTCACGAAAAATAGACATCTGAAAAAGGCAGCACTTTCTGATTATCCTATAAAGAGGGTGAGTATACTTCTAAAGCAAAAACACCCTACAAACTAAGCCTAAATGTGAAAATCAAAATTTGGCAAAGTGCGACACGTTTTTGTACATGTGGATGTGTGGCTTATGTTTACGGAGGCAGTCCAGTAAATAGGCCACATTTATGGGGCTAGCCTGGACCCTGATCCAGCGACAGGGATTTCCTCACATTACCAACCATGTACGTTTACAAACACATATGTATTTTTTGGGTGCCAGTCTTAGACGAAAAATAAGAGTCTTCATTTTTCCAGCCAGTTCAGTTTAGACATTTCGGTCACTGGTAATACCGGTACATACATGTACATAGCACAAAGTTGGTGCTGGATACTGAAGCATAAACATTGCACGTTTCTGTGCATTGTTTTTTTTTTTTTAAGGGGCACGTCGTCCTAAAATCGCCGAAACTTTTTGTTTTAGATTTTCTACCTGTCCTATTACAAGAGTCTGGTCGAATGGAAACTAACCTAATGTCGCACTGTTCCTGAGAAAAGACGAACAATCCCCCATTGTTTTCTTCTGACGCAACAGACATTTTGTGACATAAGTATGTGTTTCCAGCCGTAAATACACGTAGGTCTCCTTTAGAGACAAGAATTTTCCCCAAACGTCTGTGTCGGTACACGTTGTGTGTACACTTGTACCAGCTCACAAGTGTTGAATGTTTGACGCACTACCCCATGCTGCATGAACATGTAATGTACTAGTACCGTAGGCTCTACATGCTTGATAGGTATCAGGCAGCGTGGCACATCGAAGCATACACAAGTAAACGCTCAGGAATTTATGAGAAAGCTGCGGTAATTTGATTCATCTAAATAGGTAGCGGGTGTTCTTTTTTTCGATTACACGTATTCCATTATTTACCAAACAAATGAACACACATTTTATAAAACGTTTTCAAAGGAACTTGTGTGACTGGAATTACGACTAGCACCCAAACAGCCCGATTTTTGAGACCAGAATTCATTTTCGCAAGAATAACAAACAAAACTGCCATTTTTTAAAGTATGGTTGTGTGGGCGTTTACATTATACTTTTAAGTGCCCTTTCCCATCAATATCATTTCAAGAAAAATGCGTTTTCTAGCCCAATAAGGTGCTTTCCAGGATGCAGTGCCCCTTTGAGGATAAGAATTCAGAGATACTTCATTTACATATATACCTTATTAGCATATGGCCTTAAAAGGGGGGAGGGAGAAGATGTTTTGTGTTTCTACAGTCTAGGGGAATTCATTTCACTGATTCAAATTAAAGTCAATATATTACTCTTGTCCTTATTGGGTTTGGGGTGAGGGAGTCGTGGTTATCCTTTATAAAGCATGTTTTTATAATGGTTTCTTCTCACTTGCACTTGAAACAAATCTTGAGCATCCCCCAATTCTTCAGCATCCCTCACTTGGCCATACAAATAAGAAGACAAAGATGTGTTTCTAGATTGCACTTTACATCCCTTGCCTCATATCTCTCTTTTTTTGTTTCTTTTCTTTCATATTCAACGTTCAGTTTGAAAATGACTACAAAAGGAAAGAAAAATAAATACTTTAATTGTCAAACTGGCTGCACTATTTTTGTAACCTCATTGATGTACAGGGTACAGGTACATGAACCGTATGTTTTAAATTGAATCAAAATCAACATCAAGGAAAACCCTTCCGTGGTTTTTTTGGGGGTGGGGTTGGCATCCAGAAACACAATTTTGTTTTATTATGTCGGCCCTAGAATCGTGATATTACGTACGTATGTATACTTGCACTCCTCTGTTTCAGATCACTGTCACTCAGACATCACGTCTTCACTCAGCTCCACCTCCAATGGTTCCTTCTGTCTCTTTCTTATCTCTCTTTGCCGTTTTCTTAACAACTTCCAGGGCTCCTGTCATTGACAAAACCCAACGACAACATTTTCTGTGGCTTGAAATTTTTGTGGGCAAAAATCCACCATTTTTTCACGCTAGGAGGTTATTGTTTGTTTTTGATGTGTGTTACGTGTAGGTAAATGTACATGTACGTGCAGATTGCCTGCATAAAAAAAGTTTTGATTCTGAAACAGGCGTTGACGAAGCTTGACGTTGTACACAATTGTTCAAACACAGAACATGTTGTCTAGATCTCTTATTGTCAGGGGTAACGAAAGAACCAAGGGTGAAAAGGGAGAGTCAAACATATACTTCTGTCACAGAGTTCTTTCTAAGGAGAAATGAACAGGAGCCCTGAATACTAATAATTTTCTCTGTCTGTCAACATTTGAGTGATTGTATGAAACAAGCCTGTAATTGCCAAGAGCTAGATCAGTGAAGAGTTGAAAATAAGACTAGCAAATACAAGGAAACAGAAAGTGAAGTTACTTTATTAAGCTTGGAAATGATCTATTTATAAATCTTAAGGGATTAATCATAACCCAAAAAAGAACTGTTTGTGCCTTTTCTTGCCTCATAAAAAAAGTTTTCATTTGGACCCACAGACAGATCTGGGAATAGGTATGAAAGTGTCTTTCTCTTCAAAGATTTGACAGTGTTCTTGACAAAAAAAAGTGAATTGAAAGATGTGCGAATCATTTTGACAAATTCGAGATACCACTTTAACCATCTATTCCACTGACGTTTTCATTTTCTTGCAGTTGAACATTTGTTTGCTTGGAATTGTTTTTATCGATACTCCATTACAATACAATGTTTAAGGAGGATCAAGTGAAAACAGCAACTTAGACATAATTAACGTTAACATTTGAGAAATGCAGTTACTTACATGTACATGTGTATTTAAACTAACTCTAGAGTGGCCTAAGAATAGATCAGTTTACTGAGTGGTATATTTGCATGTGACACTATTTACATTTAAGCATGTTGAAATTAAAAAATATTGGTTTGGTTTTTTTGGCTGGCAGGTTTAGGCTTTGATATTTCCGTAGATTTTGAAATTTGTACATCGTACCCTGCAAAAAAATTCTCTATCAAATTGAGTGCAAATGACTTAGGAGCCAAAGAATGCAGGTAACATTTGCAGACACTAGACACGCAGAAAGTTCACAAATTCTTCATCAGTGATGCTAATTGCTTGTTCGGATGGAGGTTTCCCACATTGTGTCAAAGGGGCACTTTTCACCGAAGGTCAAATGAGATGAATTTTTCTTAATAGGAACATATTTTGTGCAACATTCCACTCCTCTTAAATGTATGAAAACTATTTGACATTCCTTTTTTGGTTAATTTTATTGAAAAGTGCACTTCTTTAAACATTAAAAGTTTTCCATGCTTTTCCAGACAACTGAGGGCGCTGTTGCTGTGATGTCATTTCAGGAAGACACTGTTCTGTTTAGGCCTTTTCTGTTCAATTGTAAACCCAGAAATTTGTTCATTGAAATTTTGAAAACATTTGTGAGAAAAGTTTGCCCAATGGCTGACTGCCATGTACTGACACAACAACGAATCACCAAAGAAAAGAAAAATTTGTAACAGCAAAATATTCAAAATTCTGGCAACTTTGGGTGCTGAAATAGCTGTAACATTGAGATGTCTGCCTGAACTGACATCACACTTTTGCTCATGAATATGAGAATTTGCATACAAATAAAAAAGGCACCAAAATACCCTTGAAAATGGCAAAATGAAAATTGAAAATAAGGTTAAAATGGACACACAAAGGTGCATATTCAAGGATTGTATTTAAAAAAATTCATTGCATGGGTCCTTCAAACTTTTAAAGCTGGTTTGCGCAATAATGCACAGTCCTGACTGCTGCCAGTGTGGCGTGCCAGTCTAAGCAGTGCTAGCACAGGATGCTGTGAGGAAATTACATCATTATTGAAGATGGCTGCGGAACTGGTACCGATAGAACACATGGAATTGTCTCTTACTGCTACAACTGCCATACTGTGGGACAGGCATCATGCGCAATGATGTCACGCGAGTCCCATTTGAAAACAACATGCACAATGCCTGCCTCACAAAATGGCTGAAGTGTGGTAACGGAGGTCCATTCCATGTACAGGGTGTTTCAATAAAAAGGAAACCCAACTTTGAAGAACCAGCATGGACAGACTAAATGTTTACTGGCTATAAAACTGGTATCATCTGAAAGCGTAATCTCTATGCTTTTCAATGATACCTTGTTTACATTTCCAGGGTCATGCATCACTGAGCGCCACTGTCATGAGATTTTGAGGCAAAATTGCAGTTGGTTCACTTTCATGTCAATTACAATAGGCATGGTGTGCATGAGAATAAGTATTCAAGAAGAAGACACGATTCCATAAAAAGAAACTAAAAAACAAGTCGGGTTGGTTCCAAAACTGGATTTTATTGTTTGCCATGAATTTCTCGTTTTGACCGAACCACGTTCAAAACAATGTGCCATTTTCCCGAGGATTAAGCCAAATTCCTAGACATTTCTGTAACAATAGGCACACCGTGCCCAGTGTTTTTTTTTTTTATGAAAGTGAACCAACTGCATTTTTGCATCCAGTTTTCAAGACAATGATGCGCAGTGATGCATGACTCAGAAAACCTAAACACGGTATCATTGAAAAGCATAGACTTACGCTTTCAGACGATACCAGTTTTATAGCCAGTAAACATATCGTCTGTCCATACTCATTCTTTGAAGTTGGGTTTTTTTTTTTTTTTTTAAACGCCCTGTATGGTGTACAAGTTAGCAATCTGGATGGTAAATAATGCACAACAGTTTATACATAGTCATCATTCTCATGAGGATCACAAGTGAGTGGAGACCCTCCATAATCCATCATATGACGTACATGTACATGTACACATAGAAGACCAATATTTCCTTTCCTGAGTATGTTTGAGAATATCTCCCAGGAACCCATGTTTTGATGGAATTACTCACTTAGACACTTGGGTTCTTGGACTCTTCTTTTCCCCTTAAATTAAAATTATCCCAACGATAAATTAGGAGAAGAACAAGAGTAGATGAAAAAAATGGGCATTGGTGGGCATTCGAACCAGGGATCTTCCCATCCATAGCTCATCTCACTGTCTACTAGGCTACTGCGGCAGCTCAACGACAACCGTACTTTAAAACGCTTTAATGTATTGACTAAGTAATAACAATGATGTGATGTTCTTTTCTCATGAATAAATATAACTTTCCCTTTGAAACTACTGAATATGGATTCTCTGAGAGACATTCTCAAAGAAGGAAATATTGATCTGCATACAGGTCCGAAACACAAGACATTTTCTCAGCTTAAAATTATATATAATCCACTTTCCATGATGACATTTTGTGTATTAAACCATGAACATAAAACATGAAGTCACTTCAACAACTTGACATGGATAATCATGGTGCATGTAATTTTCATAAGTCCTTCAATTTCTCATGAGTGGTTACAAAATGTATATCCTTCAATTTTGCTACACGGCTTCACATATTACATCTACTTGAGACTTCATAAGGATTTCATTGTAAACATAAAACATTGATTCAAGTATGATATATCTACTTGTCAACGCAGCCGGACATTTTTGCAAGCTTCCATGAAATAGTCATAATTAATTAAAACACAAAGAAAAAGGTTGTTTGTTGAGGACAACATTAATATTTTGGGATTTTTTTTTGCTAAAAATGCCGAAATCCCGATTGCCCAGACTTTTGCTTTTAAAGGTATAGTCCATCATTTGTAATTAGTGCATTTTGTTCGTTTGAAGCAACAAACGTTCTCAAAATCTAAAGAAGGGTGATAAACAACTAAGCTGATGAAGTTTCAGCTAAGCTTCAGCTGTATTTTTCGGGAAATACAACATTCTAAGATCTCGATTTCAAATCAAAGTTGAATCATGTTTTGAATTGGGCCTGAATTCAGCATCCGAGACACGTTCGCACTGAGCCGAATGCAGCTATGCGATGTCGCGCACTGATCCGACGAATTATAGAGGGCGCGCATGCATGTGCGTCGTGTCAACGCTTGCGCGCTCTTCGCCGTATAAAAATACGAACTACTAACGGAAATTTCCAACGGTGCATCCTAAGACGCACCGTTGGAAAGGCCTTCTTTCGTTGATTTCTTCAAAATGACAGCATGCCAGAAAGAATAATTTCACAGGGAGTTTAGTTCCCTTACTATCTTTCAACCAAGTATGTTTTTCAACAATAATTACGTCAGTCACTTTTTGGATAGCTGCAAATGATGGACTATAGCTTTAACAGCACTGAAAGGGCAAAGATAAACATCAAAATGTAAATATTGCAAACTGCATGAACAAAATCAAAATGTGAATCTTTTTATTGCAAATGGAGCTTTGCAAAATTTATAAAAATCCTGAAAATTCAAAATGTAACAAAGTGTCATCCACATGTACATGCAATACCAAAGTTAAGTATACATACAAATACACAATACACATCTTTTATCAACTACACTCCTGGCCAAATCTCGCTGGGCCCCCAACCCCCCGGCCCCCGTTCAGTGTTGTCTGTCATTGTGCGGTGTGTGCTCCATCAGCTGGAGAGAACAACATTGACCGGGGGAGCGGGGGAGTGGGTGACCGTGGCAGGCTCAGGAAGTGTCCCAACCATTTTGGCCGGGATTGTAGCTAAACCGTGACAGTGCATTACAGTCAGTGCAGTTAATTAGAGGCATCAGTTCTTATAAGCCTCTGTACTGACGACGTCACACTTTGTTTACACGTGTGCTTCTCATATAGGAACCTGGTGGGGACGATGATTTCGTAGCCCAATAGAAATGCGCACACGTAAACAAATCGTCATCAGCACAGAGGCTTATAGACTAATAATCAAATCAAATAATCTCAAAATACCGGTAGCCCTTTCCATTGCTGTTCTTCTAATTCGCGTCTGTTTTTTTTTTACCAACAGCCGGAGAAAAAGACCGCTGAAACAATTGCTGCTGAGGATGCCATGAAGACTAAATTCTATGACTTCTTCAAGAAGGTCACTGGAGATGTAAGTTTTGATGATTACACCGAATTTTTGTTTTCGAATCCCCAATTTTGATATTACATTTTCAACCTGACAGGGTGAAATTTCATGATTTTTTGTAACGATGTTTTAAGGAGTCTTTAAACCTTTGCGGTTTATTTTGTTACTTTGCATGGACATTTGGATGTCTGAATCTTTTTGTTTCTTTTCCTGTTTTCTTGGAAAGTGAGGGTGTTTCATTTTTGAGTATTTATTTCACAATTGATGCGTGGACAGTAAATAGCTTGCTTAAAGCTTGATTTGTTGTGATGTTGTTGAAATGTCATCATCACAATTGACACTGTCATTCTTGTTATTGGTTAGCGTGTTCCCAATTGCACTGTCGTCATTTTTAAACTAGATGTACATGTAGTCATTTCTCTCTGTTTTTTTTTTTATATTCTTTTGTATGTTTTTGTTTTCCATTTCTTTTTAAAGGACATGGAAGTGGATGCGTGGGAGTTGCAAGAAATCCTGAATGCTGCTCTCAAGAAGGGTAAGATAACCTCATATGAACAAACAAAATTAAAAACAAATTTAGGTACGGGGGATTGATAAAAAGGAAAATCATGCACGACATTATTCTTACCAATAAGAATTAAAAAAAACCTAGGTCTAATTCTGTGAAGCTTCTAAGCGGAACATGTTTCTGAACAAATCGAGTCCTCAGGGTACAAATCTGTTGAGAAGTCATAAACAGGAGACATTAGCTAGGAACATGGTTTTGATAAGGAATAATTGTCTACGCCGAGCACTTTTGTGTGCTTAGAAGCTCCACGGAGTGTCCCCTGAGATTTGACTTACTCAGAATATGCAGAGCTGCAATAAGATAATGAATATTAGGATAGTCGTTTTGACTTGAGTCACTTAATTGGCAAATGTGTGGAGTTGTTGCCACTTGAACTCGAACAAAATTAGAAACTATTTTGAAGTGGATGTGTTCTGTAAGTCTTTAAGCATGCTGCTTTCGGTAATCCTATTGGTTGAAGGAGCATTAAGTGCATACATGTGAGCCCTGTTCCACCTCAAAAATGGCTTCTAATTTTGTAAGCTGGATTAGTCTGTAGACTAATCCGGCAACAGCTATTCTTGTTACGGCAGCACCGAACTCACATGACTCATGTCGGCGTATTACCCTAAGGGTTACTAATGTGCGCGCCTTGTGTTTAAGAACGCGAGCGGCATGCGCCTGAGCGTGGCACCACCAAAATTTGTGTTCAGCGAATTACACTATAGAAGAACCAGGGGAAGGCATATTACTTCTTTATGAACTGTGGTGCATGTACGCTAAAAGCGGTATTTACTGCGGTATCGGTACAGGTATATTTGGACAAAATAAACTTACCAAAGGAAGTCAGCATGGTCAAAGGAGAACGTTTTAGAAAATATCAATTTTTTTTAATCATGATGTTGTGATGATTTGTTAATAACAATGCATAGATAAGAAAGTTTTGATATCTGTTTTTTCGAAAAGTGAAATTGGATAAAATAGCCATCCTAAAAAGTTTGATGCGCAATTGGGTTGGTCATATTTTGCCGAGTATCTTTAGAAATTTCTTCATGTTGGGATGGATGGAAAGGAATGGGGGTACTGTAATGGGGTATTGAATTAAGAAAAGTTGAATTGTGCCAAATCAATCGGATGCATTGATGCATTGGATTAAACATGTTAAATGGGAATTTGACGCAAAATGTTCACAGACCATCATCAGTATAGGAAGGATTTATTTGAAAACTTTGGTCAATCCAATTTGTCAAAAAAAAAGGCAACCAAGTTTTGAAATTGCTCAGAAAGTTAATCTAATAACCTTTAAACCTTGAGTTGAAAAAGTGCTAACTGAAATTCTATTTGAAGTACATGTAGTTGTAGTCGATAGAAAGGTTTTGAGTGTTGGGTTTATCCGTAAAAATAGATCATGCAATATGGTGCTATGTAACATTATGTTGTGAAAAAAAGAGTGCATACTTAATTTTGGCCGCAAAAAATATTGAAATTTCACAACATCAAATCCCTTTGCATTTACACTGGCATGAAGTGCGGTCTGTACTTGGTGAAAAACATGGGGAGTGAATTTAAAATTGTAGCAAAAAGAAATGGACATTACACCAGTCACTAAAAGGTATTTGGTAAATTGCAAAATGTTTTTCCTAATGATGCATGTTGTTTTCCATCCACAACTTACTTGCCATCTCTTTCCCCATTTGGAATGCAATTCTTCTCATTTTGGGGGTAATGTTTGCATGTGGTTGCTCTATTTACACCCCGTCAATCGTCATCGCAGACATGGAGGAGGGAGGCGGTGAGCATTACTAGCCCGGGAGCCATCTTCTTCTTTTTCAACTTGTGGTCCATATGTGCTCTATGTAATGCTATGCATGGTTGGCAGTTACATCAGGGTCATTCTATCAGTTCGGGGTCCACTTTTTTCCCCTGTCCCTGTTACATCAGACCCGAGTTATTACTCGGGTCAATGTTGGTCAAGTGGCCTATTGTTTTGTTAGGAGCATGCCAGGGGGAGAGGAAGGAGATTTTGACCATCTGCAACCTTTTAAGCAGCAGGAGGGTTAGTGCAGTCCTCCAGGAACGATGTTGAATATCAGACTACCGTATCGGTACCAATCCAACAAATGAAAATCGTTTGTAGTTATTTTTCATCATACTTGAATGGCAAATTACGAAATACCAAGGTTACTGGGACAGGAAAAATGTCACGCTTTGGAGCCTAAATTTATAGAATGACCCATTGACATGTGTAAAGCTTCCTTTTTCGCCCTGTCGTGCCTGTGCTTTTGCTTCGGAAGTGTGTGTACAATGCTGTTACTATAAAGCTTTCAACGTCGCGTGGTCCCTTGAAGCCATTGCTAGGGTCTGTGTGGTGTGTTGCAGCTTCATTAGAGGGGCCAGTCTGTTGTAGGCACAAGCTTACATAGGCCAGGTTTGAATTGTTTGGCTACGGCTTGAAGTTGCACACGAGTCTATGTGCAGCAGCTGCAGCCGCAGCCGCAGCCGCTACTGTAGACATGTGTGTAGTTTCTAGCCGTAGCCATTCATTCAGACGCTGCCATAGTTCTGCAACTTCAGCTGGGCTACTTGGCTACGGCTTGTAATTACACATCCATTGAAAGCAACTGAAGCCGCTCCTCGTAGACGCGTGTATAACTGACGATGGCCATAGCCAAGTACTTCGGATGTGGCCTTAGGTGATCACTACATGTGTGTAGTTTAGGTGTGCTACTGCTTGTTGTTACATACTTCTATCTTCAGAATGTAAAATCCATTACCCTGCATAACGTAGCCAGTACAGAGTATTTTTTTGTGTAATGGCAATCGTCACAAAACTCCCATAAAAAAAATGATTTAAAATGATTTAAAAGGACAAAAGAAAAAGCAGTGTAAAGAATATTAGCAATATTTGTACATAAAACAATGTGATTCGTCTTGTCTGAAGAAGGTCTTGTTAAGACTGGAAGGTCAGGCCCTCGGAAATCTTTTGATTTGTATATATTTCAGGTCACTCCAGTCAGTGAAAGCAGTTTGCAGCAGTTTCATTCATTTTTATTGTCTTCAATCAAACTGTGATTGTCTTCATTTTGAGTTGTTCTCACAATTTTCAAAGTCAAAGATGAGAAAATTTGCAACAAATACAGCCAACGAAAATGTTTGTAGCTGAAAGTAATCTCTCAACATGCATGTAATGCCAGCACGTTCCTCATGGTGATGCATGAAGTTATACTGTATTTTTGGGTCGTCATTTGCTTAATTTGCTTGATCTTATTCATCTTTCTTGCTCGCTTCTTTGCATGTGAATTCCTGTGCCAATGCATTCATTGCCATGATAGATTTCCGTAGAGCTGACGGTGAGCTACAGTGCTGTATTGCTAACCCAGATCTGCATTAATTAATTAATAATGCCTTTTTTGTCCGTGTGTTGGTGCTGATGGAAGTGCATTAATCTAGTAATTGGGGCGATTCACAATGCAGTGCGCCACCAAGAGTTTGCCACGGAGAGTTCATTTTTTCCCAGTGCATTGTGGGAGATGGTTGACAAATTCGCAGTGCGGGACATTTGACATGTTTGAAATTGTTCGTTTTTTTCGGTTAGTAGTTTCGTAAGCGTATGATTTGAGTATCTGTTTGCCCTTTTCTTTTCTTTTTATCAATATGAGATAATGGACTCTCCATGGCAAACTCTTGGTGGCGCACTGCATTGTGAATCGCCCGAATTGTCTTTTGAATATTCACACTGATGCAAAAAGCAAGTTTCAAAAGTTGTTCCTGCCGTGATGTTTGACAGTTTTATTCTAACTTCCCGTTAACAAGCGACTGCATCACTACATGTGTATGACTTAACCCGCATACATGAACAGTATGGGCTCCGTGCACAAGTACCCCATCAACGGCCAGAAAAGGAGAGTTTGGGGTGACCTAGACTGGTTCCCGATCCATCCACTGCGTATTTCGCATGAATCCAAAGTTATTGGAGGCGGGGATTATTCTCGGAGACCATCGCAAGTTGGAATTTGAATGTATTCGCGCGCCGACGATGCCTGATGCTCACGAGAAGACGCGGTGGCTATACCAGTAGCTTTTGCACATTCAGGAAGTCGCGCGTACTTTGCGCGCGAACCAGTACAGTACAGTACGCCCACGCTGTGCGTCCCATCCACGGACCTCTCAAGAGAGTTAAAAGCGCGCCCTCTTTTGTTGGTGCATGGAGCCCATATAACGTTAATCCCTATAATGTCACGTTGTTCACTATTACTAAATTACTTTTTCAAGCAAATTAATTAACATGGATGATAACAGCTTGCACTTTCATTATTTTCGTCAATAACCTCAGTAACTCGGTCATTTTCTTCTCTCACATATATGTACATTTTTTCTTTTCTTTTTCGGATTTCTTAGGTTGCATTGATTTGGCCACATTCCAGTAATGATATCACACTGTAACATAACGTCCCATATGTTGTGTGTCCAGCCATTGTGTTTTGTATGTTGATACATTTGTCGAAGGATTTTTAAAATGCTAACAGAAGCACTTCAGGCATAATGTCTACCAGCAAATAGTTGTGTTATCTGGGAAACCTACCATCATTTCTCCAAATATTTGTGTGTTTAGCATCTTTGTGATTTTGTTATTTTGTTTTCCGTATCAAGTCCTAGAAGAACAAAAACAAATGAAATCCAAAACAAATACGATTTTCTTGTTTAAGACAGATTTCCCATAGCAATAATTAAATATCATGTCAATTTCATAGCTATTCTGTGTTCATATATTTTATCTACTGTCCAAGATGAAATAGGAGAAGCTATGTGTGTAATAATGTTGTTCAGTAATTCACCCCCCCCCCCATTATCCAAATGTGCAAAAAAAAAAGACAGTTAAGGTTGAATATGTACATGTGCATGCATACATTGTATGTACATGTACCATGTACAATTTCGAAATTATCTGCGGCCAAAGGATGATGTCAGTGAAGGCATTAAGTGCAGTTTTGTGCATTTAATGTACAATTTCACTTGGTGTTTTTTGAGTGTGTGTGTTGCTACAATTCATAATCGGTCAAATTTGAGAAAGTGGTAAACATACTGTCGACTGTTTTTCTTTTTGTTTCTTTCCTCTTTAATTGTTGAATAGAGGAAAGCCTGTTTATAAAATGCACAATATTGCTCAGAGAGGCTTATGTGCTCTTGTCTCTAGTCTGTGCTAAGCATTTCTGGTTGAGTAAAAAAAAAAAAAGTTTGAGTGTGCTTTATAAATGCCTTGGCAAAAGTAACCGCTTAAAAAAATGTGTAATTGTGTAAAATATGCATATAGGCTAGTTAAATGTTTGTAAGCAATATGTACTGTAGCATGTGTATACAGCCCCTGCACACTATTGATAATAAAACAAGAATGTTTGGGTTATATTTGCACTTCTTAAAGTAGCTTGGCGTAGTAACTTTGATATTAAAAATAGTTGAAATGTATTACATAAATTGAGAAAATAAAAGTGCCTAAAAGATAGAGACTACACTCCTACATGTGATGCCTACATGCCTGCATGTAACGGGGAGAATTTAAGAGACATTCTTCAACATTGTAAGGAAAATTGTTGGGCACAAAAAGTCTGGTGAGAATAAGAGCCATGCACTGTTGGCAGTTATATATATATAAAAAAAAGAAGTGTACAGGGGCTTCAGAAATTTGTTTTTGTTAAATATTGCTAAGTTTTAGTTTTCTTTTTAGTGGTGCAAAACTGCTTAAAAAGTTGGTTTCTGTGTTAATTACTAATATGTGCTTGTTTGAATACCAGTAATTTGATTTTATATGTGTTTGTTTGTACGTATTTGAGGGACACAAGTTGGGTTATTATAATTTACCTGATATAAATTTCACACGGAAATTGTCATTGGACGGCTGGGACTCTCACAGTACTGACTTGTGTTAGGTTTTGAGTAAAAGTGGGACAAAAGAAGTCTGTTACTCAATCTACTAATTGAACATTGAGATTAATTTTAACGAGTGTTCTGAACAAAAAGTCGGGCTTCTTTTTTTAGTTGGTGTGGGAACTTCTTGTGAGAATGTTCATAATTAGTGAAGAACTCAGTTGTGTCTTTCCCATGGCACCTATCACGAGTTAGTTTCAGCAAAACATTTTGTGACCAGCTTTTAATTTATTTCCTGATTTGTCTTCTTTCTGATATTTAGAGTTGGCAGGAAGTGACGGCTTTTCTATCGATGCTTGCAAATCCATTGTGGCTGCTTGTGATGTATCCTTGAAGACTATTCAATATAAAACCTCAAAACTGTTCATATAAAAAGTAACTCCTTTAAAGGGAATGTACATCATTGGCTTTTGCTGTAATTTTCAGAAATGAACTATTTGAGGGGTTAGTAATAGATCAAATATTGTTACACTGACATGTTTGAAGTTTTGTGTTCGAAAATGCTGGGAAAACCAAGAAAAACAAAAATGTTCAAGTAGTCTGGTTCCCTGACTCCACTAAAGATGAAATGAATCAATTTAAGGTAAGGAAACCAGTCTAGCTGGCCTGCACCCGTTCATGAACATGTAACCAATAGCAAACAAAATTTGGACTGAAAAAAAAAGGTAAATTTGGAGCAGTAGTTGAAAAATAGTTAGGTTTTTCCAACGGTGGTCGGCCGACCACCGTAGGAAATTTATACAAAATACCACATTTATTGAAAATGACTTCACCAGGTGCCATAATTTTACAGGATGCTTTAGACTTTCATTTACCAATATCCTATTAAGGTATTTTGTAAAAATTTGGTAGTTTTGTTTTCCAATGTTTGCAAATGTTGTATATTCCCTTTAACACGTTTAATACAACATGAACGATTTTATTTCATGTGCTGTTACACACAAGTGTACAGTCATTACACACTTAATTCTAATTTTTATAAGGTTTTTTTAGTAATAAATGAATAATGGGTACACATAATAGTAACAGGAGTCGACTGTGCATATATGTGATGCGATCAAGCTAAATGAGTTGTTTGTCAACCCTGGTCAATATCTTTTTTACAGTTTTGAAAAGAGCACAATCTCAGCATTACTGCTGTGAAAACAGCATGCTGATACCATCTTTAGTTCAAAAATTATGGAAGTCGGAACACCAAGAGATGTGATGAAGTGATGTGATGAAGTGGCCCTATTTTGGCCTGAATTTCCAAATGAAAGTTCCCAACAAACGACTCATTCAGCTTGATCGCATCACATACACCTGCTAGCTAGCCCTGAACAAACTTATGCTACCCTTGTCTAACAGATAAACTGGGAAATTTAAATATCAGCATATTGAATTGGTATCAGTACATAACTATTTCTATCACTATGCCAATATTAATTACTATCAAAAGAATAGAAAGGGGGTCTGTATGATAGAAAAAAAAAAGTTGAGCGTGCAATTCTCACAATTTCACATTTACATTCCATGTGAACATCTTAGTACCAATCACTGACTAGTTACAGACTCCTGTGTTAGGATTAACTCAGTTGCTATCTACGTGATCGATTAAAGGGAACTTAAGGTCAAACTTTTTCATTTGATTATAGTCATCAATTTGCAATACTTTAGTATGTTGTAAAATTGTAACGCTGGCTTTTCTTTTATACACGTAGAACCCATTCATTGCCCTTGACTGGATAAGCCTAGTCAGGACACAAAAGACATGCCAAAATTAGGACGTTACACAACGTAGTACGTCCTATACATCATGTACATGGTGCCTTGATGTACCGGGTATTGTATTCCCATGAAATCTTGCACGCCCCATACAGTGGAGTGTCATGGCCTAGCGGTTAAGAGCACTGGACTCATGTTCTGGTGTTTCAGAGGCAACAGTGACGTGGGTTCAAGCCCGCCGGCAGACACTTGTGCTCTTAAGCAAGGCACTTAACCATTATTGCTTCGTCCTTCGGATGGGACGTTAAGCCGTAGGTCCCGTGTGTTGTATAAATGCACGTAAAAGAACCCAGTAAACACTTATCGCTAAGAGAAGGGGTTTGCCCCGGTGTTTCTGGCCTCCTGTATAAACTCCCACGCGGAGTATTTAGGAGAAGAACCAACCAAGAACCCATTATGACCAGATTACTGTATGTTGTAAATTCTTCTCCTTAACAAGCTGATTGTAGGAAGATCGTTCTGGCAAGCTGGGCTTTGAGGAGTTCATGGATATGTGGATGAACATCAACGCCTGGAAGGTAGGCAGCATTGAACCCACTATCGTTGAATTATAATCTATTCCAAAATGAGGTAGCCTGGTTCCCAGACCTGACAATTGTTCCCGACACTCACGTCTAAATTGTAGGTCAAGCAGCCTCCGTGGCTAAAAAATAAGCATGACGAAATTGATAGCCCTTTTTCAAAGCTTTTTCAAAGCAAAAATAAGCATGACGAAATTGATAGCCCTTTTTCAAAGCTCGGCTTCTTTTCCGATTTCGCTTTATCACTTTTAGCTTTTAATGTTCTGATCAAATTTTTAAATTTATCACTTGGTTCGTAATATCATACAGTTATGATAATACAGTTTGATGTTTCTGTAAGATAACATTGACTAATGTTGATCTGGAATCTTCAAAATTTAGTCACCCAAATAGCACTGTTGGCAGGCGGAGCCGAATGAAGACCGAGTTTTGGAAAAACTCGGTAACGGTCGTCAAATTCAAAATTGTACATGATGCAGCAAAAAGTTCACCCATACGATCCGAGTATATTTGATGCACAAAATCGTCGTTGAATGTCAAGTTTTCTAAATGAAAGAATTGAATATTAATTATCAACCCATTTAAAAAAATCTTAATAAGCAATTAGCAGTTAATTAAACCTATATTATACTCGGAAATACTCGGGCGCTATCTGATTGTCGACGAAACAAATTCGGCAAACTTAGTAAATTTTCGGAAAAAGGAGGAATTCCTCCCGTTTTAGTCACGTGACGTAAATTGTAATACAATGTATTACCGGAGGCTACCTGACCTATAATTCATCAGGAATAGTCAGAATCTTTTGGTCTGGGAACCAGCCTAAATTTGAGGTAGATTTGGTCCTTTAGAAGAGTTTCAAATGCATCATTACTTAATTTGAAGCATGCCTTCAAAATTGTATTAGCGATTGTGAAATGTAAGCGACGAAGAAAAGCTGAAGAAAAGTTTTGCATTTTGGAAAAGACTGAACATCTAGGGATATTTTACAGATTCAATATGCCATCCTTTCAATAAACACAGTTGGAAGAAAAACTGGGTATCGGTAAATTGATATTAAGTGGGAGGGGGATATTAAAGGCAGAAATCAGCAATTTAGTGAACACTACATGTACATAGGTTGTTGTAAAAGAGGGACAAAGCAGAATAAGGCCCCCAAAAAAATAATATTCGGTCTCTGGTCAGACCAAAGTTTCGGAATTGACGCGGGGACGCGGCTTTTTTTTTGTTTTTTGTTTTTTTGTTTTTTTGTTCAAGCTTGGATTGTACAGACAAGGTGGGGTACTATTTTGCTGTTTTGGTGTCCTCATGTAAATTGGTGTCCTCCATAAGTTGCCTTGGTGCTCTCGATCATTTGCCTTGGTGCAATTTCCCATTCCTTGGTGCTCTTTGGTAAAAAAAATTGAGGAGGTGCGGCAATAGAGGAGCTCCGGTTGGAGCTACCGTGGAACATTTTGGAAAAAAAAAAGATTGACGTGCATGATTAAAATCGACGCGCGCGCTGACCAGAGACTGACTTATTTTTTTTTTTGGCCTAACAGTCATTTCATTCTACAGATAAAATGTTAATACATAAATTTATTTATTTATTGTTTACAGAACGTGTTTACAAGATACGATAAAGATAAATCAGGTACTTTCAATACCTTTGAACTGCGTGACGCCCTGAAAAGCATTGGTAAGTCAATTGTTTTCTTGTATTTTTTCGGTTTTTTTCCTGGGGGGAGGGGGAAGTGGGGCATTGGTTATATGCAATTATTTGAAGTGATTATTTTGGGTTGGGACACAGTTGGAATACGGTGGTTCATAAAGGAATTCCCGTTTGGGGGTGCATGTCAATCAACCAGTGCAGATTGACCAATTAGATCACGGCTTTTGGTCAGGTGACAATGGCAGGTTGGTCATGAACTCGGCGAGCAATGTATGCAATCCAGCTGGGCAGTGCACTGGGAAGCCCAGTGGGTTGGTTGGCAAGGATTCATTAGGTTGTATTCTGAGTCAGTGGTCAAACGGGCCGAGTGTGTGGGGAAAATCAATTCTTTGTGAGTGCACGGTCTGCATTTGGGGTTGGAAACACGGTGGGGAAACACTTGCAGCTAAGGGTCCATTAGAATGTTCTTGTTTGAATGGGTCAGTTTACATGGTGTGCCAATATTCCACATGGTATAGTATACAAATATTGACTGCTTCGAGTGGTGTTGTAAAACTAGCCTCCTGAGGTGATCCATGGACATTCTATTTTTCCCCGAGTCGAAGCCGAGGGAAAATAGAATGCTCCATGGATCACCGAGGGAGGCTAGTTTTACATCACCACGAGATAAAGCAGTCAATATTTGTTTTATAACACTTCACCCACAGATTCTGCTTGGTTTTAATATTTTAAATTATTTGAATCTGAACACAATTAAATTAAATTTTCACTTTCAATGCAAAATTGGTGGGAAATGTATTTCTCTCTTCCAAACCACCCCTTCACGAAATGTTTGAATCCGACTCTGTGGCGCGCTATCTTTGGAACAATACGCGCTACGCGCAACGCGCACACCAGCATGCATTTGCACACAAATACCGCGCCATGGGTATAGTCATGGTTGCTAATGGTATACAGTTGACTCTTGTTAGTACAAACTCTGTTAATACAAAAAATTCTGGTTATAACAATCATAAAGCCTCAGTCCCGACTGTGCATTTATGTGCACAATGAATGGGACTGATGTCCTCTTAATACAAAATTCTGATATAACAAACAATTTGGCTAGGTCCGAACGAGTTTGTTATAACGAGACTCGACTGTAGTACTTTGGTTGCTACGGGTATAGTACGTTTGGCTGTGCACTGAAAGATAGCAAACAGAAATTACCATGTGACTCGCTCTCGGCCAATCAAGACACAGAATCTGTGGGTGAGGTGTTATAAAGAGAACTGTAATACCTGAGCAACAGTTTTTTCCAAAAGGGCTCCATGAGTCTGCATTTTGACCTACCAGCCTTGACATGGACCTGCAAACATCTCCAATAATTTCCAAACAAGAGCATAATACTACACAGTTTCCAGCCAATTGTAATTGTGTTGTACATTGTGATAGGCCGCATTTAAAGCTATAGTCCATCAGTTGTAATTTGTGCATTTTGTTCGTTTGAAGCAACAAAAGAGTTCAAAATCTAATAAAGGATACTAAGCAACTAACCTGATAAAGTTTCAGCTAAGCTTCAGCTGTACATTCCGAGAAAAACCAGCATTCTAAGATCTCAATTTCAAATCAAAAGTTACTGAATCATGTTTTGAATTGCAGCTATACGCGACGTCGCGCACTGATCCGACGAATTATAACAACCGCGTGTGCGTCGTTCCAATACTTGCGCGCGCTGCGCTGAATAACAAAACGAACTACTAATTTAAATTTTCCTACGGTGCTTCTTAAGAATCACCGTTGGAAGTGCCTTCTTTCGTTGATTACTTCAAAATGACAGCTTCCCAGAAAGAATAATTTCACAGGGAGTTTAGTTCCCTTACTATCTTTCAACTAAGTATGTTTTTCAACAATAATTACGCCAGTTACTTTTCGGATGGCTGCAAATGATGGACTATAGCTTTAAACACGTTTCAGTTCCGCTGTCTGTTGCTATACCTCTGTACCCTTAATCGGGTAGGTTTACCTATTTGCACCTGTTGATTCAGATTATAAGTTGGTTTTGTTTTCCTCACACTGCAGGGTACACTGTCAGCAACAAGACCTTTGGAGCGTTGGTGCTGCGCTTTGCCAACAGGAAGGGCGTCATCAACTTGGACGAGTTCATCTCTTGCGTCATCAAACTCAAGCACTTGATTGGTCAGTGTAGGGCTCTCAGCTTCAACTTTTTTTTTAAATTGACCTTTTTTGACTTTGTCCTGTGTAATAATTCTCTTCCTAGCATGGTGGCAATAGTCCTAAGACCTCATGAAGTCACACTTTGTTTAGGGCAAAAAAAAAAAAAGTCAGTCTCTGGTCAGCGCGCGCGTCGATTTTAATCATGCGTGTCAACCTTTTTTTTTTCAAATTGTCCGCGGTAGCTACAGCAGCGCCCTCTATTGCCGCACCTCCTCAAATTTTTGTACCAAGGAATGGGGAAATTGCACCAAGGCAAATGATGGAGGGCACCAAGGCAAATTATGGAGGTCCCCAATGTATATGAGGACACAACAAAAGCAAAATAGTACCCACCTTGTCTGTACAATCCAAGCTTCACAACAACAAAAAAGGCAAAAAAAAACAAAACGCATCGCTGCATCAATTCCGAAACTTTGGTCTGACCACAGGCCGAACATTTTTTTTTTTTTTTGGCCTTACATGTGTGCTTTCCTATGAGAGTGCATCCCATTAAGGTGCAATATATTAAGTCTTAGGTCCATTAGATTTGTTGAGTCCCCATCAGTCTGTCACTAGTCTGTAACAAGTTAAATCACCTGAGAGCAGGTTCAGGGGGGGACAATTAGGCGATAAGTGGTTGATTCATGACGTAACTGATGCTGGTGCAACTAATTGCAACGTACGAACACCTCTAGTCAAACCATGGTTAAAACATCATCGCAAAACTCCTTGCTCCTGGCCCCCCTTTGTGCTTTATGATGCGCAGGGCTTTAGATCTCTCTCATAGGACGCCATCTTCGTAGGAAACTTACAACTGTGTGTTCAACCCCATCAGGTGCGTATGCGCACAGTGTGCAAAATGTTTTAAACACGCGCGCATGTTGCTCGAAATTTCTGTGAAATACCGGTACAGCGCAGCCAATGCCCGTCACGAAAATTTGATGCCCAAAATGCCGATGCACGTGGCAATCTGTAGAGAATGACGTTATTTAAGAGAGACATATTGGTAACCAGCGATGCAACTCTGGTCTGGTTCCAAATGGTCCTCTAGAGTGGTCCAACCGTCCTTCACAAAGGAGTATCCAGCTAATGTAGACATGTTCTCCGGACACTTGGCCTCCGTAAAATCAAAAACGGGGGGTGGGGGCTGGTACTCATCTTCAAAATGGGTGCGCTCTTCAAAACTGACCTTTATTGGGCATACTGGAAATTAAATGCCAATTTTCGCGGCGCGTGGTCATGTTTTGGAGCTTGGCTTTATATGTATTTTTTCATGTCGGAACTCTCTAACCATTTATTCAAATGCTATGCTATGCTTAACCCTAGTCCTCGCCTGAACTGGCTCTTAGCAAATGTGATAAAGGCATTTCTTTTGTCATTATTCACTCCCTATTACTTGGCCCTTGCTGCGATTTTTGGACTGACGGTTTCTAACTTAAAGGTTTGGTCTCTTCTATCCACAGAATCCTTCCAGGAGAACATGAGCCGTGGAGTGGCCCAGTACAACCTGGATGAGGTATGAGTGATCATGTGATTGCATTTGATATGTAAACTTGAGGGTTAGCAGATGAATCTGTGCTAATTGTGTAATGTCAGAAAAGGGCATTGGTTCCAGAATAAATATTTTTAGGAGCTTTAAAAAAAATCTGGTACCATTGTCTGAGATATATTGTCAGTCGCACCTTGAACCGTCGTATCCCGATTTTTGGCCAAATTGAGTTTTTGTCTTTAACGTATTTATTTCATCGAAGTGCTCATCTTCAGAAAGTTTTATTCTGATCTGAGTTCTAATTAACTAAGAACGCTTATTAGACTGTGCGGCGTATCTCTAAAAAATGTTTCACCACGAAGTGGCGTTTCTAGATACGCCGCTCTGTACGCTTACTCCCATAGCGCTGTGACGTAACTAAACAGCACCAGCATGAAAAGTGTGAATTCACCGTTTCGCGCACTGTCGTATCCTCGTATCTACCATGTGGCCACTATTACGCGCGTTGTATGAATTACAATAAAGAATGTTTTACAGAGTGACATGTATCTTGGGAACTGAATATCCTAAAAACTAAGCAACTCAGAAGCAAACGGATTGCATACGATAAAGTTTAAATAGTAATTTTCTAGCTGAAACGAAATCGATTGAATTCTTACACAGGAAGTATAAGGAATGAGCCGACCTTTTTAAAAAAACGACTACCTTTAAATCGTTTTTTTTTTCCTTCTCAAAACACCAGAAATTGCGATGCGACGGTTGTGGTGCGAATGACGATATGTTAAAGACCTGATTTTAAACAGTTTTGAAACATTGAGTGGAAACTGTAGGCAAAAACAAACCATAATCACAGGAAATTTCCACACAAAAAAAATTAAAAGGATGTTTGACCAAGATCTTAGGGCGGGGCCGGATGGGAAATGGAAGTGCTATGCAACTTCTCCTGCATCTACTATACAACATCAGTTGTACATGAAGAATTGTAAGAAGACGTCATACACAGTTTATGTTAAGGATTGATTGCATCGTTGCCATCAATTATGATTTTGTCGCGTTTGAGAAGTTTACACTTCTGAGGCATCTTTTCTGGAGAACAAGTGCACTTACCAAATTGTCAGTTGTTGACAAAATGGAGTTTTATATGTTGTTGCAGACATTATGAAGGGTTTTTCTTACCACACCTGTAGTAGCACTTAGAGCTGCCACCCCTTCTTGTCTTCCCAGCCTCTCGTTTCTTTTTTTTTTTAATGCTCTTCAGAGTTTTCCTATTTTTGCAATTTTTTTTTTAATTGAGTGATAAAAAACATTTGCTGAAAATACCTTTTTAGGAATTTGGGTGACTGGTTAATTGTTCATGCCCGAAATACGTATGACATTAAAAGTATCTAAAGGGGTTATTCTTTTTTTTTAGTGCTCTTTGTTTAAAAAAAGTCTGTCTTTGAAGCTGAATTAATTGTCTCTTGTCATTTTTAACCGTGTAGTTCCTGGCAGTGGGAATGTACTCTTAGAGATCTCCAGCTGTTTGACACCAACTGCGTGAAGACAAGTCTAAGGAAACACATTCGCCGGGAGAGGAGGTTCCAGTTTTTTAGATTTAAAAATCATATTTGGATGACAAATCTTCAGTGTAGATTCACTTCAATGATAAACTTCTTTCTATGCATGATTGAAATAAAGACAAATCCATAAGATATGATCAGCATTCATCCCTAAATGTCTCCATCCTCAAAAAAAAGAAAAGAAAGAAGCCCAGGAAATTTTATTCAGGAAGAAAACATAAAGTTCATCTTTTAAAAGTGGAAAGTAACAGTAATTAAAAAAAAAGTGTATTCATGACAATTCTTTCACATGGCAGATGAACAATATTGTGTGGATGTTGGTGATATCTTATGGTACTTACAAATCTATTTTTCTGTCAATTATATTTGTGGTGATGGATGTTTCGTGTTGTATTGAAGTAGTCATAAAAAAGCCGAAAATTAAAAGAGTTTGGGTATTATAGAGTAAGTAGGTGTTTTGGTGTAACATTTTGACAGTTTAATGGTGTAAGGATTAGTGTATTTATAAGCATAAAGAAAGAATCGTAGACATTTGCTATATGCCTAGCTTTGGACCCAGAGGAAGAAAAATATAGACGCCATTTTGTTTTTAGTTGATAACCAGCTTTTATTTGAGTAGTATTTGTAATTATTGCAATGACGCTAACAAATGGTTAGAGTACTTGAAACTGTATCACGTTGATGTGATTTTATTACTCTTAAATGCATGAAGTAACATTAGATATTATTGGCTGACTCCGGTCATGTGACCAGATTTTAGTACGTGTGGGAATCATGCAGGTCATAATTATATAAAATTTGCCGAACTTGTCCTTAACGATGCACAGTAATTCACTATTCAAGATAATATTGATAGGAAGAACAAATTTTGTATTTAGAGGAGATTTTTTTTCAAGTACCGTAGAGAGAAAGAGCTAAATTCTAAACCTTTTAAAAAACTTCGAGCTGGTTTCATGTTTGTTTAATCTATTTAAACAAAGTCATGATTGTTGTGTAGCAGTTGCGTGGACAGATTCTCTTAGTTTTTAAAATGCACAAAACGTAATTGAATTTTGAAAAACATGTAATTCTAGCTATTGAGCGCATAGTTGGCTCTATTTTTTTGTATTCGTAGTGATAATTTCATGATTTATTCTTCATTATGTAGCTTTTAAACAATCATTACTTCCATCTTTTTTCTGCGAAAAAAAAAAAGCTTTTGTGAATTTAACAGCAGTACTACATGTATTTACCTCATCTCCAGCCATTTTGCCACATTTCTCGGTGCTGCCTATAAAATCTTCCAATTTTTCTTTTTTTGAAATATGCCCACCCACCCTTTCTTAACCAAGTCAAAGTTTTATTTGTTTAACTGCATTCAGTGTATTTGCAACTAGATAACTTGGCATTACGTATCGATTTTTCTTTTTTGTAAGTGTAGAAGATTGGAATTGCATTAATACAATGCCTGGTGTAAACGTTTTGAACTTTTTTTTTTTTTTTTTTTACAGAAATTGAAATTTGATTGTCATCCTCCATTGTATCTTTTCGCAGAAGTCATCTCAAGACACCAAAATCTAGCACCTTGTTAAATCAAGTTTGACCTGATATTGAATTGTGCCGACTTGGAGGATTGTTTACTCAAGAAAAAAAAAAAAAACGATTCAAGAAAGTACCTTACGTTTTTTGGTCTACCTTACTTGTGTCTCATTCAGAGGTTTCAGTTGTGTATTCAGTTTTTAGTTCTTGGAAATCCAGTATTATTGTCACAGGCTCAACGAGTCATGACATGCTTCAAGTCAAGTGCTGGCTGTACAATTCAAACAGTAATAAATATCCCAGAAGTTCTGCGTCCTTCGTTCTGTGCAAGATGAAAACATGGAAGTTGCAAGAAAAGATGCTACTATGGCATTATAGAATTTAACTTGGTATTGAAAGAAATATCTGTAATGTTGCATTCGTAGTTAGTTTCATGTACATGTATAACCAGGGTATTCTCTCTTCTTCTTTTTTGAGTGTTGGGCAGATATATTGTTAGAGTCTACAGCTGTAATTGAAGTCCATACATTTTCTAGATAGCAAATTCCAGTAAATATATTTACATATCGGCCTCCTCATTTGCATTCAAAGTATTCAGCTTTTATTCATGCTTTTTAAATGTTAAGTCTAATTAAAGAGAATAGCAGTCGTCATAGTGTATGAAATACGTGTGGTAGTGCTGTAATAGACTAGCATTAAATGCAAGCTAATAACAAAAAATATTTTTAAAAAGCTTTGTTTTGGGGCAGTAATCAGCTGAAACAATGGAAAAACTGTTCAGTTCTGTGAAATGCTTTGAAATAAACTTTGGTATCTCTGCAGCGTTCATAGATGGCATCCGCATAATCTAAACTAAGTTTGATCATTTTGGACTTTTCATGGAAGTTTCTTTGTTTTTAAAGTACTGGATTCATATTGACCTATGAGTATTGCCAACAGCCGGTGCAGCGCACATGATGGCAATTGGCCAATGAGCAACGTCAGAAATTCAAAATCTTGATCCAATTCCTCATAGATTGATTGCATTTGTCAGCCATCTTGGAGGCATGTTTTGTGATGTCAATTCATTAACAATGAATACACAAAGAGATCTATACTCATGCGTATCCCTGCTGAACAAAAGCACACACCTCTAAGATGGCTGCCGTGCAAACAATCTATTGGGTCGCTAAGCATCTGCCTTTACGTGCTTAGCAGTCTTGTAGTACAAAGCCGCATTGTTTGTTGGAAATACATTTCAAATTATGCAAAACTTCATAAATGCTGCATGTGTTACACCACTTGTGTGCTAACAATGGACGAATGCCTTGTTGGGTTATAAGTGAACTCGAGACACGAGTAACCCATATAGTTCCAGATAAATCTATTTTCCGTCGTACCTCACAATCCCTCAGTAATGAATATCAATGTGGTAATTCTGTACTTTTAACATGTCAATATCATGTACTTGGCGAGGGAAATAAAACAAAGCTAAAAAAAAAAAATGTGATTGTCTCCACAGAAGAGTGATTTGAAATGAGTGTTCTTTTGATTATTAAAACCTAACCACCCAACCATTCGAATGCAACTGCATATTTTGTTAGAATCTGTTGGAGTGAGCACTGCACTGGTAAACTGATTATGCTTTAGACGGGGGTCAGGCATACCACCATAATCAGAGTCCAACAGTTTGGGTGTAGAGTTTACCATATGGTGTTGGAATTTGCAAGAGTGAGGGAGGTTCCTAGTAAATCACTGAGGGGGTAGGGTTAATTTTGGTTGGATCATGTAAATAGGTAAATCAAAGAAATGGTACAAGAATTGTTGCATGTACGTTTTAATTTATTCAACACTAATCATAAAAAGGCCAAGTAAAAAAATTGAACTTCAAGGCTATTAATATTTGCTTTAATGTAGTTTGATTTGAGTTTGTGTACCATCTTATTCAAAACAATTAACATTCATCATAGCACAATAGCACATGGAAACAGTCCATAGACTTTATCAAAATCGAATACATTGTACATGTACCGTACATGGTTTTAGTACTGAACACAAGTACAGTACATATTACATTTAAACATCAAACAACGTGATTAAATTCTCTGTTTTGTCCATTTTTAAATTGAATCTAGTGTCTAAAATGAATTTTAAACAGTCAAGCATTATCATCCATCTTTAAAAAAATGTACCCATGACAGCAAGTGAAGACTAAATATTGTTCAACAAGATAATATAATGGTCTTCAACAGAAGAACTATGGAGATATTAAATGTACGATTCAGTTCTACTGAATTAGATATTCATATAACTTTCATTCATAAATACCTAAGACAGTTTACCCATTCCTATTGGTCGAGAGCCCGTCACGTGGCCGGTTTTAAACGGTTGATGAAGACCGGCATGCTGGTCTTAAAACACTTTTCCAGTGTCACATGAAATTTGTCCTTTTAAATCCGGTGCCTTTTACCGTTTTATTGTTGAACGTTCACAATCCTCGTGCAGGCATGCGCAATACCACCAGTGAGTCAGTATTTCATAGTCCTAAATTCACAATACACCAGCGCAGCTGCGTTCTGTGCCACACCAGGAGACAAATGTCTCAAGTTAACTTATGCTTATAATGATGTCATCTTTGTATCTATACAGCTTAAAAATTAATATATCATAAAGCAAATACAATCAAAAACCTGAACAAAATTGGAACACATGAGATTATCACTTGATTGGATGGGCTAAAAATAATCGAAACTAATTACAATAATTACTACGACTCAGATTTAGAAAACTTACATTTACATCTGCTCTGAGTTTATATATAAAGTATTACATATGATACAAAATTTACAATTCATCATGAATACTTACGATTTCCCTGAATACATCAGCAATATCTTTGGAGATATTCTGAGATACTTCATGTACCTTGGGGAAAACATGTTGTCCAAATGTTTGGAAATGCACTCATTTCATAACTGATATTAAGTAGAAGTCCCTTTTGAAACCCCAAACGATTAATTATACATCTTTTACATAAACACCAGTCTTTTTGTCTTAAAGGTAGAGTATATCATTTGTGCATATTTTTTGTTTGAAGCAACAAAAGTGTTCAAAATCTAAAGAACGGTGCTTAACAACTAACCTGATGAAGTTTTAGCTCAGTGATTCCGAGAAAATAATATTCTAGGATCTCAATTTCAATTCAAAAGTTGCTGATTCATGTTTTGAATTGCGACCGAAATCAGCGTCCGGGACACGTTCTCAGTCGATTGCAGCTACGCAATGTCACGCACTGACTCGTGTGCATCGAGTCAATGCTTGCGTGCACCCATTCACAGCTTTGCCGAATAAACAAGAACTACTAATGAAAATTTCCAAAAATTTGTCCTCAGACGCATCTATGGAAATGATCTTCTTTTACTGTTTTCTTCAAAATGACAGCATGCCAGAAAGAGTCATTTCAAAGGGAGTTTAGTGCCATTACTATCTTTAAACCAAGTTTGCTTTTCAACAATAATTTTGTCAGTTACTTTTTTTGGATTGCCGCAAATGATGGGCTCTACCTTTAAGGAATGATCTAGACAAAAGAGTATACATGCGGTTTTTTTTATATTTTAAATTTTTTTATTCTGGATAGGTAAAGTTTCACAAAGGGATTAACTTGGGATTATGATCACATTAGTCTACAATCTGGCTTGATTCAAGCCTTCTGGAAACCTCATGGATTACATAAATCCTTTAATAATAATACGCGACCAGATCCCGTTATGAATCCCATTGTTTCCTGCAAGATTAAGTTCAATTTGCAAATGCAGCATTTCGGTGTACAATCATTCCGATGTGTGTCAAGACCTTCAATCCAAAGCTTTGGGATAATCTTAGAATTACTGGATAAGCTCCATAAATCTCTGTGCTAATCTGCTATGAGATTAAGATAGAGATGAAGGTAGAGTGGCTTGGTGGTGAGTAAGGACAGTTTTTTCCTCCTGAAGTCGGTAGGTTTCTGGTATCTGAAATTGAAACGCATTAATTAAATTAAGCTCCACGAGTCCATGTGTAGCATTTATTAATACAAATAAGCAGCGGTGGCAGAACAGTTTTCAAACTGGGGGGGGGGGGATCACCAAAAAGGGGCACTTGCTCAGTAAAAGGCATCTTCCATTGGTGCAGCAGCGTATCCAGCATTTTTTTTTGGGGGGGGGGGCACATCCGTGCTGAAATGTCGACACATTTTTCAGATTTTCAAAAATTTTCCATTACAACCTTCTCATATCAGAGCCATAATTTCCAAAACCTACTGGGGGTGGGGGGGGGGGGGGGCAGTTACTTACAGTTCAATGACCAGTGGTCCTGGCTTGATCTCATCCATCTCCATAAAGGCAAAGCATTTGGTGCTGATGGTACGCTTCTTCAATTTGTAATGTCTGAACTCAAAGAAAATGGCAGCTCCTGTCAATTTAGAAAGTTGTTAAAGTCGTGAACAAAAACATGGAAATAAAAGCTACAGTGCACATTCAAACCATGTAGAAATTAAAGCTATAGTCCATCATTTGCAGCAATCCGAAAAGTAACTGACGTAATTATTGTTGAAAAACATACTTGGTTGAAAGATAGTAAGTGGACTAAACTCCCTGTGAAATTATTCTTTCTGGCAAGCTGTCATTTTGAAGTAATCAACGAAAGAAGGCCTTTCCAATGATGCGTCTTAAGACGCACCGTAGGAAAATTTAAATTAGTAGTTCGTTTTGTTATTCGGCGAAGCGCGCGCAAGCATTGGCACGACGCACACACATGCGCGGTTGCTATAATTCGTCGGATCAGTGCGCGACATCACGTATAGCTGCAGTCGCCTCAGTGAGAACGTGTCTCGGACGCTGAATTCAGGCCCAACTTTTGGTTTGAAATTGAGATCCTACAATGCTGTTTTTCTCGGAATATATCAGCTGAAGCTGAGCTGAAACTTCATCAGGTTAGTTGTTCAGTATCCTTCATTAGATTTTGAACACTTTTGTTGCTTCAAACGAACAAAATGCACAAATTACAAACGATGGACTATATCTTTAAAGCTAAATACAAGCTTAACACATCAAACCACTATTAACCCTAACCGCCTAGGGCCTTCTGGCTAGGATGTGTCCTCAATCCTGCAAAATCCTACAACTGCCACCATATAGAAATCGCATTCAGCCTCAATCCTCCAAATTCAGCCATTATTTCTTGAATTAGGTTAGTGCAGGGATGACCACTGCCTCAATCCTTCAAAATCATCTGATATTTCTTGAATTTGTTCAGTTGAAGGAGGGGTGACCACTGCCTCAATAAGCCTCTGTACTGATAACGTCACACTCCCTTTACACACGTGTGTGCTTTCTTATGGGATCTTGATGGGGACGATGGTTTCATAGCCCTATAGAAAAGCACACACGCAAACAAAGCGTGACATATCATCAGTACAGAAGCTTATTGAACATAAACAATGCAGTGTACGACTACGACCCCAACACAATGCATCCTCCAAACTGACACTTTTTTGCCGTTCACCGTCAATCCTCGAAAATCTTCCCAAAACTGCCAGGTTGATTATAGAGGATTGAGGAGGCCGGGTTAGAGTTAATGGACACACAGCACTCGTTATGTACAGTACATAATGCACAAAAGTATTCCTACAAGATTCTAATTGAACAGCACTTCCCAGTGTCAGATAATGTGTTGAAGCAATAAGTAAAAAAAATGGGTGAGAAACCCAAATGTCGGGACCATTGTTTTAGTGAAGTTCTGCATGTAGCACTTTCAAACTCTAGGATATGAAAGCCCAATTCATAATCTTTCTTTTAGTACAAGAATCATTCAAATCACTCATGTACTTTTCAAGTTAGGAAGTTTTAAACACGGTGAACCCCCGTTTTAAGGTTCAATCCACGGATCACAAAACAAGTTCAGTGTTCTTTCAGCAAAACGGAAAAAAAGTACATAGGGATGCGTGTGAATTGTTTTTGTTTTGCTGACTGAACACACACCGTTATTGTGATCCGTGGACAGAACTTTAAAACGGTGGTTGTGTTTATAACTCTGTAACTTGAAAAGAACATGATTGATTCAAATGATTCTTGTACTAAAAGAAAGCTTATGAATTGGGCTTTCATATCCTAGATTTGTGATCCGTGAACAGAACTTTAAAACGGTGGTTGTGTTTATAACTCTGTAACTTGAAAAGTACATGATTGATTCGAATGATTCTTGTACTAAAAGAAAGCTTATGAATTGGGCTTTCATATCCTAGATTTTGAAGGTGCTACATGCAGAGCTTCACTAAAACAATGGTCCCGACATTTGGGTTTCGTTTTTTTTTACTCACCCTGTACAATCAAACAATTTCTCACTATGCCAATGCCTACGGTACCTTTTGGTAGTTTTTCTAGAGGTTTCTGCAAGTGTACGTCCACTCCATAGATGATGTATGGATCCTCCCTTCTCAAAGCCACCGGCGTCTCTTGCGGTTTGGCAACATCTATACCTTTATTATCTTTGAAACAATAATATCACCAAAAAATTCTTATTGCTTTATAATAACTTGCTCCTCAACCTTTTCCTTTTTTCCGAAACATTTTTTTCTTCAGAGGCTCACAAACTCACAAAAGAGATTTGTCACATGGCGCTTTCCTTAACCTTTCAAATATCTTATCGCTATCTTCAACATGTCAACCTTCAAATATTATTTTCCTTGGATTAACAGACCGTACTGGTACTGAACAACTGTCATGTAGAAGAAATCAAGAAAAGTAGAAGCTTTCCAGTCAGTCCATTGAGTCAATGGACGGATTTTTGGAAATAAAGAGTGCTATGGTTAAAACTGTATTTCCTGATGGAACGGTTGTGCGTGTGGTGTTTTTTACTGGTTTTTTTTCCGTAAAGTGTAAGATCCACTGAGCTGAAAGTTCTTAGGTTTTTAACATTCTTCTTTGGATTTTGAGTGGTGTTATTTTCGGAACCGAACAAAATGCATGAAAGCAAACGATCCTATATGCCTTTAAGTATGAACAATGTGCCATTGATTCACTGCACAGGAAGGATTTTAGAAGGTTCGGGAGATTTTTGGCAACATTACCTTTTAGCGAAATGACGATGTATGGGTCAAGATACATTGAGGCGTCCTTCAGACCAATCTTCTCTATACGAACCACAAGGTTCGTGGTTCCTTTCTGGTGGGGCATCATCGGGAACAATTTGCCTGCATGTACGGTACATAAGAACCGACACAAGTGACTTAAATGATGAAACATCATGAAAGAGAGATTCTAATCAAGGTGTAGGGTTTTTTTAAGTGACCTTCTGCAAAAAGGCTTTTTTCTTCACGATGATACAATTATGTCACTTAAAAAAAAAAAAAGGACCGATTGTTTGGAAATGATGAAATGAGGATTCAGGATTATTTTTGTGTTTCAGTGACTTATCAAGACTTGAAGCAGAAATATCGTTCTTGTTGCCCCATGTAAAAAAAAAAAACCCTTTCTGGGTGTGACATCTTTGCAAAATAACACGTACCGGCAGCATGGGGGCTGTGGTCCAATGGTTACAGTGTTCAACTCGTGTGCGGTGGTACTTGGGTTCGAATCCTGACAAGGAAAATATTCCTTGTGCTCTTGAGCAAGGCGCTTTTCAATTATAGCTTCGCCCCTCGGATGGGACGTAAAGCCGTAGGTCCCGTGCGTTGTGTATAATGCACGTAAATAACCCAGTAACATTTATCGCCAAGAGAAGGGGTTTGCCTCCGTGTTTCTGGCAGTGGCTGTAGTTTGCGCCGCAGCCCCTGGTATACCCTTTATAAAGGTGCTACATCATGGGTCTCATGGAGTGCTGTGGCCTTGTGGTTAAGGGCACTGGATTCGTGGTCTGTGGGTAAAGCTGCGGGTTGTGGGTTCGAGTCCAGCCGGGGTCATGGTATGTGTGCCCTTGAGCAAGGCACTTTGTCACTCATTGCTTCTCTCCACCCAGGAGTAAATGGGTACCTGTGAGGGCAGAGATGGTTATTGTGATTGAATAAGCTTGCTTGGGCCTAACAGGCAGCATCGAGCTGTATACTCCCCAGGGAGCTGAGATTGTAATTGGAATGTTTAATTGGCCCAATGATCAGGGCTAATAATAATACTGTAAGCACTGTGATTTGGTTTACTAATAAGAGCGTTCTTAAATGCCGATTATTATTATTATTATTTCTCATAAACTTCATTTACCTGTATTTAAATATAGACATAGTTATCAGCGCCTTGAGTACCTAATTGTTGGTAGATACATCCGCTATATAAGACTCCGGTATCATTGCCCGGTTCCCGCCCTAATGTTCAGACCAGTGTGCGCAATGCATTGTGTCTGTGACTGCAGAGGTGGGAAAGTTGAGTGTTCAAATTAGGTTTTGCCCTTCACCGACGTTTTTAAACACTGTATACTCAGTGTGTTACCTCCCGAATGACAGTTGGAAAAAATCACTCGGGTGGGACTCGAACCCACGACCTCCTGCTTTCTAGTGCAGATGTCTTACCACTCGACCACCGAGCTAACGGGATCGGGTGGCCAGTTCGAATCTGATGTACATAGCAGCGGGTACCGCATAAACTATTATAAGATGGAATACACTGAGGGAGGTAACACACTGAGTATACAGTGGTTAAAAATGTCGGTGGAGGGCAAAACCTAATTTGATTTATATCACCCCGACGCAAAATTCCATCTTATAAAAGTTGAGTGTTATTTAGCCACAGATGTCACCGGGTGTTGAAAGGGCTGTCTTTTGTGGACGGGAGTGCAAGGAAACAATTTTTTTCTGGCTCAAATCTCAATAAGTTACTAAAAACAACTCTAATCCAAGATCACTTTCCTCATGTTCATCATTGTTTAACAACCATGTGTAGATTTGTATAATTCTATTTCTGTAAACCTGTAAATGCATACTGTCGATAAAACTTCAGCCAGTGGGGAAGTCTTTATAGTACTTGCCACAAAAAGGGAGAGTTACTATAAGGTTGAAAAATAAACCAGGCCATGATGAAATTCCATTGGCCCTTTACCTGAACAGCTGAAAGGTCACTCTTGAAAGACACAAAAAATCACAGGCCACATCTTCTGATCTATCATCAACAGATAAGCAAGTCAAAGTGTGCTCTCTGCTCTTTGGGAGTGAGGTCAAATGTGTTCCTGTCACCATGCACAAAGCTGTGAAGCCACCAAATAGGCCCCCAATATGGCCGCCGCTATGGGGGCCGTGCACAAGTACCCCTTCAATGGTCAGAACAGGAGCATTGGGGGAGACCTAGACTAATGATGTGCAAACCCGACCCAAAACCGAAACTGACCTGACCCGAAACCGACTTCGGGTCGGGTCGGGTCAGTTTGTCCATCTTTTCAATCGGGCAGGGTCGGTTTCGGTTTTGCATTTACATTTTCGGGTCAGGTCAGGTCGGTTTAGCGATCTTTTGAAAAAATCGAAATAAACCGAAATAAACCGAAACAGTTGGGAAATTCAGGTGATGCAATATTATTGACAGTAACTGTCAGGTGATGCAATATTATTGAGAGTCACTGTCAGATGATGCAATATTATTGAGAGTCACTGTCAGATGATGCAATATTATTGACAGTCACTGTGACTGCAGCCCATTGTGTGGTGTGGCCACCAAGCGCACTATCAAGTTCCCATTGTATTTTCTCCAGTCGGATCGGGACTGACAGTGAAATAGATAGATTGTAACAGTTTTCATGATACCGCGTGGTGACCATGCGTTTGTTCAATAAGCGGAGTTACTCTTGATCAACCCACTGAGTATGACAGAGAGAGAAATGATGGTTTTGCAAAAAAAATCACGCCACGTGGGTAAGGGCAGGCACAAAAAAGTGATCACTTTGTCCAAGCCAGGTATTTGGGGTTTTTTCGGGTCGGTTTTACCTTATTGTTTGTCGGGTCGGGTCGGGTCGGTTTGAGGGAGTTAAGATCGGTTTCGGTTCGGATTTGGTTTATATCTCTAATGTTTCGGGTCAGTTTTGGCCTGGTCGACCCGACGCACATCATTAACCTAGACTTGTTACCAATCCATCAATTGTGGACTTTGAATGTATCCATAGTTATGAGGAGCAGGGACTAGTCAAGGGAGACCATCGAGAGAGAAATTTGAACGCATTTGCGTGCCAACGATACTTGATACGCTCATGCGAAGATGCTATGTCTTTAATACGCTTTGTGCACTTTCAGAATAAATAAGTCGTGCTTACTTCGCACGCGAACCAGAACAGTATGCACACACGGTGTGTCCTGTCCATGGGGCTCTCAAAAGTGGTAAAATAAACGCCCTCTTTTGTTGGCGCACGGAGCCCATACACTGAGAATATTATATTTCTTACTGAAAATCAACATTCTTTTGTTATTCATTCCATGTTACTTGTGACCGGACGTGAGCATGGAATTGTTACCCCAAAAAACATGCCCGGACTTGTGTTGGAATTGTGATGGACTGGACTTCAACATTGATAAACATCAGTGGTTACAGGTTGACACGTGACCTTTGACCTAGCTCTCCTTACCTAGTGGTTTGATTCCAGGTGATGCAGTCACTGAGCCCTTGTTAGTCCCTGCCTCATCATCGTCCTCATCGTCTATTTCATCTCCTTCCAGATCCAGCTCAAAGTTGCCCTGCTTAACTTGCGGCCTTGAAATACAATATCAGGGATTTGGAAAGGTCATTATAAAGTGAAATATAAACATGTACACAACTATATCTTGAAAATTTGTGGTTTAAGTGTAATCCTTCCACAAAGGAAATTCAGAGTCCAGAGCTGGTGTGCTATTCTTGATTGAAGTCACACGCGTGTCTTTTCGAAAAATGTTGCTTCAAGCACACGTGCCTTCGTTATTGAGTGTCCTGATTTCCCACAGTGAATTGTCACTTGCATGGCATGCACTACATGTACATGTAAAGCCAGAATGACGTTGCCAGCCATGGTTCAAAATTCGATGGCCATATTTGCCGCTGGAAACATGTACAGGCAAGGCAAAAAATAGCTGTCATATGTCAGATGTAAACAGTGTTTCAACACATTTCTTTCTCAATACCTAGGTCTCACACTGTATCCCACTTATCATCCTTCATTGTCCCGAAAATTGTGGAACTCTCTATCACAATCGTGCTTTCCATCATCATACAACCCACATAGGGGGTGCACTCATAAGTCCGACGCCTCATAGGTCCGACGCCTCATAAGTCCGACAAAATCGCATCCCCCAACCAAATAAAGGCCCATAAGTTCGACGCCTCATAGGTCCTACCCCTCATAAGTCTGACGCCACATAGGTCCAACACCTCGTACACCTCGTATGCTTCCGACGTCGGACATATGAGACGTCGAACTTATGAGGCGTCAGACCTATATGGCGGAATAAATAAATTGTATGCCTCATATTGCGTCGGACTTATGATACAGCCCCCCCCCCCCCCTCCACATAGTACAGGAGATAGGTGATGGGATTGTGATACAACCATGGAATTTGGCACACAGAGTATGTCATGACAAAGATATTTGGCTATAAGCCCCATCGCAGAGTTGTCCTCTGAAAAAATATAGGTATAATAACAAACAATGGCAGCCATTTTGAAAATTTCGAACAGGGCTTGTTGTTCTACCTACATTTTTTTTTAAAGGACAAATCCGCGATGGCCCTATATATATAGCCAATATCTTTCTTAAGACATACTCTGACTGTGTGTCAAAATCCATGCTCTAATTCATCAAAGGCACATTCCCACCAAATATTTGCCCTATCTGCCCCACTAACAGTCTTTCAAGAGCTTCGTCAACAAGCTCCATCTAATATCACCTTCCTAGTCTTAGTTCATGCGTCAAATGGCCTTTGGACTCATCAAAGGTTTCCTGCCTTTTCTTGACATTTACTACACACACAAACTGTAGGACCCTATGTGGATTCACTGTTACCCAGACGGATTGGAATATGATTAGTAAACAAATACACTTCCGATCTCAATGCTACCATTAAAGGGAATGTACAACATTTGCTTTTGCTGCAATTTTCAGAAATAAGTGGATTGGAGGATTAGTATGTTATAGCAAATATTGTTAAATTGACTTGCTTCACGTTTTGGGTTCGGAGATGCTGGGAAATCCAAGAAAGCCAACCATGTTCTTGTAGTCTGGTTCCCTGACCCCACTTAAGATGAAACGGAGCAATTTATAAACTTTGGGGGAATTGTAAGGTCAGAGAATCTGTTTAGCAGGCTTGTACCCCTTCACAGGTGTGTAATCAATTGCAAAGAAAATGCGGAATAACTAAATGTGAAAAATTAGGAGCATTTTTTTTTTAAAAGCCAGTTTCTCCAACGCTGGTTGGACGACAAGCGTTGGGAAAAATACAAGTTTTTTTAAAACATGTCAGCACACCAGGAGCCACGATTTTACAGGATACTTTAGACTGTCATTCCCTATTCAGTAAGATATATCGTGATAATTTGATCATTTTGTTTTTTGATGTTTGCAAATGTTGTATCTTCCCTTTAAGGAAGACTGGCATTGCCGGCACAAATCCTTTCTTACATTACATGTGAATCACTTGAACAAGTCAACAGCCATTTAGACATGTTATAAACCTGTATTCGTTTTGCACTGAGTGACCTCAACTGAACAGTGCAGACACATGTTTGGGCATGCACGTAGTATAAAGTTAAATTCTTTTCCGCAAGTGACACTGTGATGTGAATGAGGGATTGTATACATTTTCTTATAAATGGCAAAGTTCTCTAGGAACTTTTCTTTCTCAACAATATGCCATAAAAAGATGCGAGTTTTGCCCACCGCCTACTAACTTTATGTATTAGCAGCCGATTTCACGAAAGTTTACACAATGGCATAAGTCCACTTGCGCCACAATTTATTGCACAAGTTGCGCAACATTTCACGCTGCGTAACATTTCAATTATGACACATTTCACGAAAGTTTTATGGTGCGTAAATCTGCGACTTGCGCAACAAATTATGGCTTAACTTGCACAATCAATTTACTTGTCACAATCATTTTACTTGGTGTTCGTTATGAATCCCAGCATTGCCCAACTTATTGCAGTTGACACAAGACACTCACAGCTTTTCGTTTAAGGTACATAAATTTCTATTTCACTCGTGACGGAATTTTGAGAGTTGCCGCATGATTCCGAAGAAAGTCATGGAAAAACTATCATTCACAAACAGCCGTTGGAAATGCTGTTATTATACTCATTTAAGATATTTGAAGCATTTAACACATTGTGCAGCTCTTCCAAGTTTCATGAAATTGATCGTAAGTTTATTGCGTAGCAGCGCAATAAATTTGTTGCGAAAGTCCTACGCATGGCCCAAACAACGCACTTTTTCGTTAAATCTGCTGCTGCCGTTTTCCTTTGCCTGCAATGTGTCTTCATAATTGTCTATTTCACTGCCTGTCCTATATTAACAGACTGGTTTGTTGTTTGGTCTGCCCATCTGTTTCTTACTTCAGTTTCATACATTCTCACCTGAAGAGGGCGGCCTCTGCTGGCATAGCAACTGGAAACTCCGATTGTGAGCTTGTCAGGAGGCTACCAAAAGCTGCACAAATAAATGGTGGAATTGTTGACAACTTTCACATCCTCAGGTGGTTAGTTGTGCTTTACATTGGTTTGGGGTGGATCGGAAATTGATTTTGAGAACAATTTAAGGTTTCAATTATTGTGCATTGCATGCACGTGCAGGAACACTTTGTGTGTGTCAGTTATCTGATACACCGTGCCCTCTGGAGACAATAGGGATCAAAAGATTGTATACGTCTCCACAGGGCAATTTCTATAGATGAATACGTCTCCACAAGGTTTTCACGAAATAGATACATGGATTTTACTCAAAAACTAGGAGTTTCTAAATAGATTGATGTGTCGCAAATGGAAGAGTTTTAGAAAAGGGATATTAAGTCCAAATTTCAGCCAAGGAAATTAATTGTGGTTAAAATAAGAGCATTTTGAAACTTCACCTTCAAACTTGTAAACTTTACTACATGAGAACAAAGAAATGTCTCCACAAGAATACAAATTTCAGTATGTGTGCCCACGGAGCTATCCAGAGAGGCCACAAAATGCAATCTTCTATTCGTACACACAAATGAGTCCATAACAAGCCTTTAAGCACACTAAAAATGCAGTGACTTTGGACAAAATAGTGAACACAATCCAGTCAACACAACTGTTGCAATCAGCATGTTTGGAGTGCAGCTGTTAAGACTGAGAAGACAGGACCATACCTGAGTCTACTTTCTTGAGTTCTTCTAATGTAAATCCCTGGGTGCTGTCGGGAGACTAGAATGGCACACACAATGAAGAAAGAAAGACCGATGTCAAAAACTGGAATGGGACTTATAAATTTAAGGGAATGTACATCCTTGGGTTTTGCTGTAATTTTCAGAAATGAACTATTTGAGGGGTTAGTATAATAGATCAAATATTGTTACACTGACATGTTTGAAGTTTTGCGTACGAAAATGCTGGAAAAACCAAGAAAAACAAAAATGTTCAAGTAGTCTGGTTCCCTGACTCCACTAAAGATGAAATGGATAAAAATTGCCGGAAAATTGTATTAAAGGTAAGGGAACCAGTCTAGCTGGCCTGCACCCGTTCATGAACATGCACTGAAAACAATGGTTAATATGGAGCAGAAGTTGAACAATAGTTAGGTTTTTCCAACGGTGGTCGGCCGACCACCATTGGAAATGTATACATAATTTTACAGGATGCTTTAGACTGTCATTTACCAACATCTTAGTAAGGTATTTCGTAACAACTTGGTAGTTGCATTTTCCCTTTAAGCATTGGAAAAATGACAATAAAGTCATTTTCTGCTAACTGTAGCAGATAATTCAATGAAGGGTAAGCGCATTTCACTAATTAGAACAGACTTTGGCTTCTGGCTTTTGTGCTGGCTTAGCACAGAATTAGCACAGAATACCTCGGTATGGAATTTCATTACTGCAATTTTCCCTCACAAATGTAACTGGATGTGTGCAAAAAGGTAACAGAAGACAACATGGCAAAATCCGCTCTCTGTGAATAATTTCCCGTGGTCATGGTACATGTATCTACATGTAGATAAGGCATGTGAGGTGAAATGTGTGCTTACTAGTCATTCAGCAGGGCCTTTAAATTTCTGCCCGTGCTGCCTGTTTGTGGTTTTCCCAACACCACGTGTCTTATTGAGTTTAGATAACATCATAAATAATCCATCCAATATAATACCGAATACTGTCATATTTTTGGGGCCGTATCATAAGTCCGACACCTCATAGGTCCGACGCCTCATAAGTCCCACATTTCGGACTTATGAAGCGTTGGACTTTTGAGGCATACAATTTATTTATTTCGCCTCATAGGTCCGAGGCCTCATAAGTCCCATGCCTCATAAGTCCAACACTGGAAAAACGAAGCTTTTTAGGCGTCGGACCTATGAGGCGTCGGACCTATGAGGCGTCGGAGCTATGAGGCGTCGGAGCTATGAGGCGTCGGACCTATGAGGCGTCGGACCTATGAGGCGTCGGACCTATGAGGCGTCGGACCTATGAGGCGTCGGAGCTATGAGGCGTCGGAGCTATGAGGCGTCGGAGCTATGAGGCGTCGGAGCTATGAGGCGTCGGACCTATGAGGCGTCGGACCTATGAGGCGTCGGAGCTATGAGGCGTCGGACCTATGAGGCGTCAGACCTATGAGGCGTCGGACCTATGAGGCGTCGGAGCTATGAGGCGTCGGAGCTATGAGGCATCGGACTTATGAGGCGTCGGAGCTATGAGGCGTCGGACCTATGCGGCGTTAGACTTATGAGCGAACCCCATATTTTTGTGGCGGTATACCATGGACTCTCAAAATCCAATACTGCACAAGCCTAAATTGCACTGATAGTGCCGGTAGATCAGAACAGTGATCATCAGGACAGCATTTCATTGTTAACAAAAATATTTTATTTATTTTAACAGCTTTTTTTAATTATATAACTTTTCGTGTTACCTGGAGTGCTTTCCCTCGAAGGTCTAAACACGCAGCTATCTTTGACAACGTTCTCTGCAACATAAAAACAGGAAAATGTTATATTTCCCAAGTCCAAACTACATGTGTATAACAATGGAAATATTTCAATTGTTACCTCATACATACTTTTGAGGTTAACATGCTTCTTTCATTGGTGGATGTTCCAAAACATCAGGCAAGTAAAAGTAGCTACCCTGCATGCAGGACACACATACTATTGCGAATCTAGTCGGTTACCATTGGTAGTGCCAGGAAAGTAGTATGTATTATATACATAATAATGTGTATTTATAAAGCGCACATGTCCACCAGTATTGGTGCTCAAGGCGCTACGTCATTATTGCCCTGTTCATTAGACCAATGAAACATTCCAAACACAGCTCAATGCTGCCATTTCGGCGGCAAGCAGCTAAAATGAATCACAATAACCATCTCTGCCCTCACAGGTACCCAATTTACTGCAATCACTGTCAATGCACTGCAATCACTGTCAATATGTTGAGGCAGAGCCAGTGAAATCCTGGAGCAGTGCGGCGGATTTAAAGTATAATCTAGGCCAACATTTATGCACATCTGGGCATGTAGGACACAAGGTCCGACCCAAGACTTTGACACAGTGCATCCTCCAACATCAGCCACACATTGTTGCTATATACCCTCAATCCTGCAAAATCCTCCATTTTGAAAACAGGATTTTGGAGGATTTAGGAAGGTTAGGGTTAAAAGAAAAGAACGGGTTTAAAACTCGAGTAGTGTTCTTGCAGTTTGTTCAACGGGGAACAAATCAAGATCTGTTATAAACCTCCAGATATTATTACTTCTGACCTTTTGGTTGTCATTGAATAGAGTTGCTTCATGTGATGCTTCTCTCAGGACCTGCTTTGATAACCTGTGGGAAAGAAGGCACAATGTCAAGATGGTCAAGTCAGAGTCCACATAAGACTTTACTAACTCCCCAGGCCCTCCGGCAAGGATGCAACCTCAATCCTGCAAAATCCTCTAATTGCCACCAAGAAAAAATTGGATTCAGCCTCAATCCTCCAAAATCATCCGTTATTTCTTGAATTCTGTCTGTGGAGGGTGACCACTGCCTCAATCCTCCAAAATCCTCTGCCAATTACAGCTATGGTTTGAGGCGGAGCGAATGGCATTTAGAAGTAGTGCGGAAGAAATATGAGAAAAACACAGGGCTGAATAATGCATGGCTGAACATAACCAATGCAGGATATGGCCTACTGGCTTGACATAATGCATCCTCCACAAAAAAACGCCATACATCTTTGCCATTCACAAGGGTGTGAGCAGCCTCTGACAAAAATAGCTGAAAATAGCTGAAAATGGCTGAAAACAGCTGAACAAGGTGTAAAAAAAGCTGAACTTTGGAAATCTCCTATACTTTTGTACACAGCAAGTGAGGGAAAATAGCTGAAATCCAAAACAAAAAAAGCTGAAATCAGCTATAAAGCTGAGATTTCACACCCCTGCATTCATCCTCGATCCTCTAAAATCATCCAAAACCGGGAGGAGGATTTTGGAGTTTGAGGGTTAATGTATATTTTCTCACACAATCTGCAGGGATTTTAAGAGTTGGAACATTGTACATGTTATCCTGTTAACATTGGGTACACAATCTGTATCCTGCGACAGTAGAATGAGAATGTAAGATGATGAAAGCATTGGTCTACATACACACACTTGCAACATTGCTCAAGAAAATTTGTTCCAAATTCAGGGCACGTTGGGAACACCGCAATGGGGACGCATGCTGTTAGGAAGAATGTTCCGAGAGATTTACTGCGCTAAAAGTTTTACTTTTTGTTGCTGTTTGACAAGCCCAGATATTCACCAAAGGACATACCGGTAATTTATGCTTTATCCGTGCCGGGGAAAGCAGACGGTTTAGCATGATGAGCAGGGGTAACAAACATTAAGACATGCATGCACCTGCCTATTAAGGAAGTCCATTTTTATTTCTAGAGTTCTCTTTTTTTTTGCCTCTGAAGTAGGGTCAGTCGAAGAAAAAAAATGTGAAGACAAAAAAAATGCAGTTGCACGTGTATAGATTACTAAATAAAATGATGCCAAGTTCGTAAATTGTATAGATTTGTTGACTGCTATGAGTTTATCACGAGTTGACATCACTGAATAAATACAATCAAACTACATGTGGCAAGATGTAGTTCACTAACATTACATCTGGACGGAGCAGCTCATTAATAACTTGGCTGTAGTGGCAGCCATAACATACCGGTGATCGGAGACACTTACTGGTACATGTAATATGATGAGAGGCAACATCATCTCATCCTCTTGGATTCACTGGTTGCTAGTATACGCCGTCCTTCACGAAAAACAAATCTGGTATTCATTTTCAACAGCTTTTCAAATAACCCAGAGCCTGATTGGCTGAATTTCCTATTCTTTTGTTTTTTTTCATAACTTCTTTTGTTAATGGGGTTCCAGACAGGGAAGGCAGGAATATAAAAAAAATTCTTGGGTGGTGAGCCAAGAGCACCAAAGGAATAAAAAGGATGCCCTAAGGCCATTTGCGCGTCGGCAAAATGAAAAAGTTTTTTTTCAATAAAAGATAATGTCTCAAAACCGCCAAACTCACTGGTTTGACTGGAATCCTCCTGCTGCACAATTTTAATGTGTTTTTAGATTGGGTTATGGTCGAGAATAAGCTTTTTGTGGCCTCTCTGGATTTCCATATATTTGCACTAAGTTTAGTAGGGCACCATTTGCAGTCATCAGCAGACATTTGAAGCAAAAAAATCAGGTAAAAAAAAAAAAAAACCCGTCGCTGCACCACTTTTTGGGCAAGCTCCATACCAGAAACCGGAGACTTTTTTTTGGGCCTAAGAATATGCACATCAAAAGTAAGTACACAAATACAGCTCTGACTCTTAGATGCAAGCACTTTTTACTGTGCACTGGCCAGACGTTGTTATGAATATATTTCAAGGTCGATTTTTCACATTGTTTTTCCCGTTCTTACATTTGATATTCATCTACGGCCTCAACTAACTGGCCCCAGGAATCGTGACCAGTCCCTCGTGTCAAGGATGCCCTCCATCGTGCTACCAGCTTCTGCTTATCTCCCATGATGATGCTTTGCTACTCATTGAACCAGGGCTTTGCCGCAGCAACGTGGGCGATTTAAAGTCTGTGGAAGGAATACAAAAACTCACTGAAGTGGAGACTTTGAGTCTAACCATTTCCTAGCTAGGAATTATATGGAAACTAGACATTTTGGAAAGGCCAACTTAGTTATCCTCAGTTTCATAACCAGTTAAACAAATTCTGGTCTACACAAATGTTGTCCTGAAAATATCCCCTCAAACATGTCAAAATAAAAAAATACTTAGTAGAATTGAAATATCCAGCTCACTAGGCTCATCTCCCAATATCATGAGCCTAATATCACGGGGAAGACTTAATTTTGGGCGAATATTGAGAGGTAAGGCTATGCCGAGTATGACTTGGAATAGCCTACTATTGTTTTCTTCAAATTACCAACCTTTGGATTCAAAGTACGTATGGCCCAGCTACAGAGTGTACCCCAGTGCAGGCCATAGACTAGGGCTAAGACTTTGTCAGATCGACGGGGGTCAGACAACTCGACCGTTGAGACAACTCGACAGTCTGTGCATCAAATGGAACTAGACAAGTGGTCTGTTGAGACAAATCGCCTGTTCAGGCAAGTCGACTTGCAATTTTTTTGGGAGAGGCATTGGGGGCTTGTACGTTCTGCAGACGCAATGGTTTGGTGGGGCTCGGTCAAAGTTTCATGTACAATGTACATTCAGATGTTAAAGTTACGTCTTGCAGACTAGCGATATGCAAACGCACGTGCACCGCATCATTGTGCATGCTGCGTCGCCCCGACCGTGCACCGCACCAGGGCTCGACTAGGCCTACTTCTAGTCTCGAAGTAGGTCCCGACGTGACAGCCACCGCTCTGCCCACTGTGTGCATGCTGTGCTGCCGTACACCTGGCCGGGTCCCTGCGCACATTCCTGCCACAGATTATGCGACTTTTTACCCGCTAAGCGACAGATGCAATGCCCAAACAACGATGGGCATTATTTGTGGTAAAAACCACATGCGCCGCTCTATATACGTGCACAACGTCTAGCACGGTCGTAGTTGTCTCCATGTTTTTTTAAAGTTAACTTGTCTCAATGGTCGAGTTGTCCGAGTCGAGTTGTCTCAACGGTCGAGTTGTCTGACATCCAGATCGGACCTGATACAGCTTTGTTTGTTTGGATCGGTTGTGGTTTGTTGTGAAAATTGCAAATTTTCTGAAGCCCTTCTTACGGCCATCGTTCGCTGGCAGTTGTCTGGACGAGAAAATGGAGCAGCTACGCGTGACACGGCAACTGACTGAGTGTGAGCTTAGCTGGAGTCTTCAAGCTAGACAATGAACATTATCAAAAGGTGTTTCAATTAGCCCAGGTTGGACGAAGTCTTCATTGCATTACGACTAATGTCCAGGATGAGAATTCTCTACATAAGACCACCCAAAATTTGGACCAGATTTTTGTTATGTTTTACCTCGTTACAGAAGCTTATTTCAAGCCTACATTTTCTATGTGTCCTTCTCTATTGATCCGGGGGTTCAGGAATTCCATATGTGATGCTGACCGACATTAATCAGGAAAATAAACTCTAAAGCAACGTTAAACTTGTACGTGTTTGTAGTCTCTTTTCATCAGTTTTATTCCCGAGTCGTACGTCATGTACGTGCGCACGAACGCTAGTGCCCTCATTTGTTTAGTTTTGGTTGGAACCGTGACGTCACTCCAGCCAACCGATGTCACGAAAACACTCAACCAATGACCAAAGTAGAAACGTGTTTCTGGTAACTGGCGCGAAAACACGCTCGGTCATTGGATTAGTGACCGCGCCTTCAAGTAAGTGCGCGTGCATGCGCACTGTATATTCATGCTGCATAGTCTGGCCCCCGGACCAGACGTGATATGAGCGTCGAGAATAATTGTCCGGTCTAGGGAACCAGACTACACGCTGCACAGATGTACATGATGAACGACTAGAATAGACTCGGCGGTGAGAAACTGATGAAAAGAGTCTAAAAACATGTACAAGTTTAACGTTGATTTCGATATTATTTTCCAGATTAAGGTCGGTCAACATCGCATATGGAATTTCTGAACCCAGCGGCCCAATAGATAAGACAACATAGAACACTATGACGTAAAAATTAGCTTCTCCAACAAGGTAAAAATATTGAAAATACTGGTCATACATTTTTTCGCTCGGTTTTGGGCACTTTATTATACCCTGGACTCCCTCCGTTACGTAGGGAGGAAAGGGAGTCCACCTGCGACCTGGGCTAGTGTTTCAATATGGATATGATCATAATAACCATCTAGCTAGCCCCATAAATGTGTGGCCTATTTACTGGAATACGTCCGTATTTACGGAGCTAGTCCAGTAAATAGGCCACATTTATGGGGAAATAATTACCTCGACTTACGTTAGCGTACGTACGTTGCCTTCGCTTAGCTACTGATAAACTGCAGGGCTGGCCGCGCCGGTGTCGCTTTCATTATCAATTAGTAGCACGCCACCAAGTGACGGAACTCTCACAGGTATTTAAGCTGCACAGAAAAAAGGTTGATCAACATGTCATCTTTCATTTTCTTTTCAATTTTTGGTGGGTTCACCTTAGTTTGACTTTTCGAGAAATTCTCACCCAAAGAAGATAAGCGCCTTTTTTTCTAATAGCGGAAAAGTAGCCAGCTTGAAAAACGATCCCTCCACAACATTGAAAACAAATTTCGAGCCCAAAACAATTGCATCCAAAATGCTATGAATTTGAAGCCCCCAAGTCCAGGCCAGAGGTTCATTGCCATTTCCCATTTTTATGGCTCTTATAGAACTCTCTAATATAAAATATTTTGAGGGTACAATTTTTATTCATGAGTATTTCGACGGATGGTGTAGCGGACGTTGTGTATCATTTACCGTTTCTTATTATTTTTTTATCTTTCATTAATACCATTTAATCATCTCTAGGTTTAGAAAATATGTTATCCTCATTATCTAGCTTAGACCATATGTACATGTACAATTTAGTGTAATATCCCTTGACCACAGTCCCCGATCCCTGTTACGACCTTATTTAGCACCACTTTAAATAGTCTGCTAGGCCTGGGTGGCGGTCCCCATAGCAACCTCCCCAAACTCCAGACCAAAACATTCCCCAGGGGCCATATATAATTCACCCTGTTACGACACTGTCTGTTCATTGACCATCGTTTTAGCCCATTTTCCCATCATTCTGTTGCTAGTGTCCAAGCCTACAACACCTGCTTTTATCCACTGTTAGTTTTACACACCGTTAGATTTACACACAGTTAGACACCCAATTTTGGCAACACCCCCAGCGTATTAAGTACGTAATTTTAATTCATTTATCTTATAGTTTAATTATTATTACTAATTTAATATTTAATTGTTTATTTCCTTTTTTTGTGTACCCAATTTACTTTATTCTACCATTTGTATTAGTCTATAATTTCCCCTTATATTTTGTTGTTTTTCAGCAAAACCTTCCGTACTTCCTTCCGTACTTCTGTACTAAGGCTTCTGTACTTCCGTACTTCCTTACTTCCATCCTACATCTGTACATCAAAACCTCATTTCTGCAGTTGATTCTACTCATGTCAGTCCTCAACAGCTAGTATTTCGATATTGAACTGTAAATAAAGCCTTATAATTAAAGGAAGTGTATATTGTACTATGGGACAACTACTTCATAACTGGAGTCTATAGCTGTAGTCGGTTATAGATGGGTTTAGGCCTATATACAGGCTAGGTGTGCAGTGCACCGTGATGGTTGCAGACCGTTCCAGCTAGTATTATAAAACTGCCAACATATATAGTTATGCTCACAACTCACGGTACTTCAGACACCCTTCATATTAAAGCTTATTTTATCGTCTTTCATTTTCTGTTCAAACTTCTTGGGGATAATCCAATGACCTAGGAGAATTTCCATCGCCATTTTGAAAATGATGTCAGCACGCTGCGCTCTATTGCAAAATAGAGCAAAGGGTTTAATTTCATCAAAGTTTCACAGAAATACAGTGTCGCATTCTTAATCACGCCTTTTCACACTTTTTTTTAAACCTTCAACTTCATGGCCCACAAAAATACTCTAATAAGTGCATACAGATCGAGATGTGCCCGCATAGGCAAAACTGGCCTGCGCGTTCAATGAGTCTCCATTATAATGTATATGGAGCTGAGATCAATGTATAACTGCGAAACATGACCAAGATGTATTCCTCCAGAGTTTTTCCCACGAATTGGCAAAATTTTAATTACTTCTATTAATAAGAAACATGCATGGGTTTGTTTTCTCTTTCTCAAGATACAAACTTAAGGGGGGGGGGAATTTTGAAACTATGATCTTCAATGCTTTCTCCAAAACTAGGCAATTTTTGGGCCGGCCCCATGTATAACATTATGGTCGAACGGAGGGGGGGGGGGGGGCGGTGTTGCGAACTGAGTCCTCGAGCGTCGGGCCAAGTTATTCTTGCCCTGTAAAATCATGTAAGAAATGGCATGGTTAGGCAGGTTGAAGTGGTGATTTTCAGTAAAAGTAATTTTCCCCGCAGTTTACTTGAAAAACATATACAGAAATTCCAAAACGAAATGACAGACGCTAGGGCATTCCAATGTTGAATACCCATAGGCGGGGCCACGCGACAGGGAAGCTATATAGCTGCTTAATTGAGCTTTTTCCCACGGCGGCGTGAAAAGTCCCCATGTAAACCACAGTTGACTGCAGGTTGCAGACCAGTAATTCGGTCCGAAATTGCCTATACGCCGGCCAAATCACGATTTGCATGCCCTTAAAATCTTCATTCGGACTTCAAATATCGGGGGAAAGGTAATAGCTAGCGGTAAATCTACCGGCGGCCGCCCGATAGTCCGAAGGTCCGATAGTCCGAAGGTTCTTTAGTCTGAAGGTTCGATAGTCCGAATGCACACAATTAACATAAGAGGGGGTTCGTTAGTCCGAAAATGAAATAAGGGTCGTTAATCCGAACATTTGCAAGTTTCATTAATCCAAAGGTTCATTAGCCCGAATTAGGTTCATTTATCCGAAGGTTCGGTAGTCCGAATTTAGAATAATGTTAATCAGTCCGAAGGTTCAATAGTTCGAAACGAAAATAAGGTTATAGTCCGAAGGCTCAGACTATCGAACCTTATTGTCGATTCGGACTATCGCACCCTATCGTCTATTCGGACTATCGAGCCTTCGGATTAATGAACCTTATTCTATTTTCGGACTAATGGGCCCTTCGGACTATCGAACCTTCGGACTATCGAACCTTATCGTCAATTCGGACTATAAAACTCTACCGTATATTCCGACTATCGAACCTTAGGCCAAAAAAAAAGTCTCCGGTTCTGGTATGGAGCTTGCCCAAAAAAGTGGTGCGGCGACGCGGCTTTTTTTTTTTTTTTACCTGATCTTTTTGCTTCAAATGTCGGCTGATGACTGCAAAATGGTGCCCGACTAAACTTAGTGCAAATATATGGGAGTCCAGAGAGGCCACATAAAGCTTATTCTCGACCATAACCCAATCTAAAAACACGTTATAATTGTGCAGCAGCAGGATTCCAGTCAAACCAGTGAGTTTGGCGGTTTGAGACATCATCTTTCATTGAAAAATAAACTTTTTCATTTTGCCGGCGCGCATGGCTACGGCGATGCGCGCGCATACCAGAAACCGGAGACTTTTTTGGGGCCTTATCGTCAATTCGGACTATCAAACCCTACCGTATATTCGGACTATCGAACCTTATCATCTATTAGGACTATCGAATCTTATTGTCTATTCGGACTATTGCACCCTATCCCACCCTATTCTATTTTCGGACTAATGGGCCCTTCGGACTATCGAACCTTCGAACTATCGAACCTTCGGACTATCGAACCTTCGGACTATCGGGCTGTTACCAATCTACCATACATCGGGCGGCATCCTGCCTGACGTACGCAAATGATATGCATGACGGGAACAGGTCAGAATCCCGACTCCAGAATTGAAATTCACACCGGTAATGTTTATTAGGCCTTTACTGAACATTTGTTTCAACGTTGTATGACACTACAAACATGAAATTGTTATGTTAACATTTAAGCATACAAAATATAATACGAAGTTATTTTTTTACACAATACCATTATTAACATAATGAAAATAGATTATACATGTAAAAATCCACATAACAACACGGGGCTAGGGTGAAGCGATCGCTTTTGTTCCCTGACCCGTTGGACAAGCAGACATTTGCACAATTACAAAGCACGAAATAAGGACAATGGCAGACAAACAGACGTATCATTAAGCTATTGTTGTATGTAAACAAAGTATTAAAACACTACGAATAAGATGTAAGAAGTTGTATTTTTATTTTTTTTGTCAAATGAGGGATACTTAGACTATTCCAGAAACTCCTGCCACGTTGAACTATTCCATTTTTGAATATTGTCGTTTTATTGAAGCCAACATGAAGATTTTTCTTCGCGATACTTCGCGATACAATGAACATTTGAAGTTAAAGTAAAACATGTGCTGAAACACAAAGGGAGCAAATTATTCATATATTTGTACATGAATTTACCGAGATTGAGATAGTAAAGATCATTGAATTGCAATAATTTAAGATTGGCGAATAATGGTGTGACGTATGGTCTCGATAACCAGCATTGGAAAGTATTCTAACAGCTCGTTTTTGCAGAATAAGAAGTTTAAGAAGACCCACCCCAGATGATATTGGAATAGTTTAAGTATAGAAGAACAAGTGAATTATAAAGAGTTATTAAGATATTTGTAGGTAAGAAAAACCTCAGACGATTCATTATGCCAATAGTTTTAGATATTTTGCTGACCACGTCATCAACGTGATTCTTCCATGTTAGATTATCATCAATAGTCAAACCTAGAAATGTAGTCTTGATTACCTTTTCAGGCTAATGTCATTTATGACTAAAGGAATCGTTTGAGTGTATTTCTTCTGTCTCGAGCAAATTACAATATAGGCCCTAATGTGATTTAAGAACATTAATACACAGTTTGTTTGCTAGCAGCCAAGTGCTTATCTTTACAAGTTCACAATTAAGAATATGAACAGCTGTATCCACACTATTATGACTATACATTAGACTTGTGTCATCTGCAAATAAAGAAAATGATATAATGTTAGATGTAGGCCTATTACAGATGTCGTTTATATAAGTAAGAAATAAAAGAGGACCTAAGACAGAACCTTGTGGTACTCCACAAGAAACTGATTACTCTTTAGACATTATTGAGTTAAATGATACAAATTGTTTTCTGTTAGCAGGGCCGTAAATCCCGGGGATATGAGGAGTATATATCCCCCCCCACTTTTAGATGGGGGGGGGGGGGCTATTGAATCCCCCCCCCACTTTTTCGTGATGAGAAAAAATATGGTGCTATAGTTCTTAAACACTTTTCTTGTAACCACTTGTTCACATGTTTCGTTTTAGGATTGTGCACAGTATGACAGCCT